AAGTGCATGTACGCCCCACACTCGGCTTTCCAACTGGGTGGTGAAATGGATGACCCTGGCAGATTATCAATCACGTGACAACACCAAGGAAGCAGGGGAAGGGCTGGCTGCATTTGATTTTAGTAGCACAGAGGTCCCTGCCTTCAGATCTGAAACTCAGCAACCCACTTGGTCTGTAATCTGCATGGCAGATGTCTCTTATCTTTGACACCAGGAAATCATGCCTATATATGCACAGTGAACAGCTTCAGATCTGAGTGTATTTTTAGAACAATGAGCCTTGAAGAGAAAAGCAGCAATGCCTGTCAAAAGATGGATAATGGGAAAGCTAACTACTTGGGTCTGGATTTGTCAACTATTAATCGAATGTCAAAAGGGAAAACATTAGGAGTGCCCTCATTTCCATAGGAAACGGCTTTGCAGCCCAAGCTCAAACAAACTGCCCACACCATTTAAGGGGATGAGCTACTAATTTCAAGCTCAGCTGAACTACTGGATCACCTCTGTGGCTCCTGATCCATTCAAATATAATAGGCCCACGTGTGAGAGGAGTTGGGGCTCTGACGGGGATGAAATGAAAGAGCTCTGCCAGTCTGACTTCCTCCAGGGTTTGAAGGCAGCGGCTGCATTTTTGATGGGCTGGGATCCTACTGCTAGAAAGAAAGCGGGGAAGTCAGTCAGTAAATGAACCTTCAAACTCTTGGTCCTGGCTTCTCATGCAAAAGGCGGTAGGAGGAGGTAGAACAATTAACATGACAGAGATCCTTCTGAGATGAAAACCCCAGTTTAGATTTCAGTCAAGATGAAGCAGGCTTCCAACAAGAAATTCCATGCCCAAGTGTATATGTGTACATGTAACATATATACAACACATTATATATTTGGCAAATTTATATATCTCCCATAAGGGTGTGTATACACACATAAATAAAACTCCAGAACGTAAGCACCACGAGGGCAGAGGCCTCCTCTCTCCTGCTCCCTTCTCTTTTCAGTGCCTACAACAGTGCCGGGCACACAGCAGCTCCTCAGCCAATCAGCAGAATGAATGAACGCCGAGCGTACTCTCTTACATATTAATGCTATTCATCCGCATGATGGTTCTGGAGGAAGGTGTTATCACCAAACCCAGTTTACAGAGGAAGGAAATGAGGTGCAAGGAAATGAAGTCATTTGCTCAAGGTCACAGAGCCAGTAAGATGTGAACCTAGGTTTGTCCACCTCCAAGGCTGGTGCCCTTTGCCCGTATATACAATGGCTAAGCGAGGAAGATGGGAGGGCCCTCTCCCTTCCCCACCACACACATCAGGAACCACAGCACCCAGCACCTGTACAACCAGGAGGTGCAACAGGCTGGTCACTACTTGCTGGCACCCTGCGTCCCCACCTGGGTTCTGGGGTTGACAGGTGGAGGTAGGACTGGGGGTGGAAACCACGTGGCCTAAGAGCATTGTTGGGCATGGACTTCAACTTTTAAAAAATAGATATTTCCTAGTTTTGTTCCATTTAGCCCCAGGGTGGAAGACTGACTGATTTATGCACAAGAGAGGGAGCCTCAGAGGCTGCTCAGAGAGAGGCCCAAGGAGTGTGGTTTTAATGGAGTTGAGTTGAACCAGGCTGAGAGCATGTACTGGTTGGAAGGAAAAAAACAGAAATTTGGGGAATGTGCTCTCATCTCAAATTCCTTTCATATGCAGGAAGGAAGAGCTCCGTGGCCAGGAAGGCACAGAACTGTGGAGGCCCACTGCATGCTGGGAGGTATCTCAGAGGCTTCTAGGGCCACTGGAGAATTTATATCAGTTAAGTCTACCAAGGTTGAGATGCGGGCGTGGCTGATATAACTTGTTATTTTGTAATCCAGTGCTTATTCTCAGGGACTCGGCCTTATTTACAGCTCATGATATGCTGACCCCTCTTCCCATACCCCAAATATGGTTTTCTCATTTGTTATCCACTGAAGTCATTTAACTAGGTGGACTCTGGGGGAGTCGGTATTTTTTCTTGCATGGCCAGTTCACAGTGACACCTGGTGGTAACAAATGGCAAGGTTACACCCTGCTCTTACCCCCGCCCCCCAACCGCCCCCCCCCCCCCAACCAAGTTGCAAGATTTATGTCCCTCCTTACAAGACACATTTGCTAGATGAAAGCATTAAACTGGAATGGCTTCTCCGTTCTTAGCATTTACAGCCTTGGTTGTATCAACCACCCCCTGATCAATTTCCATTTCTAGAGTTTACAGCCTGGATGTAAAAGCCTGCCACAAAGGCTCTATTTAATACGACAAATTAAAAAAGCAAACACAGGCTTGGTCATTCTTTGGAGCCAGGAGAAGCAAACAGGAGGAAGGAAAAATCCAACTGTAATGCACACAAAGAGGAACTTTCACGGAGCTGCCGAGTTCGCCTCCATTCCAATGTGAGGGAGGCTGCTCTGCAGAGGTCCCCACCGCCACCTGCCAGACCTACAGACACAGCTGCTCATCCACCTCTCTGAGAATGCAGGAGGCCTCAGAGCAGCCACCTGCCCTCACAGGTTTCCTCACCAGCCCTGCCTGATCCAAAGCCAGCCGGTCAGCTGCCCAGTGTCAGAAAGTCACTACTTCTGAGGGAGCTGGGGCGTCTCTGGCTTTCACTAGTTCTTTTGAATACGGAGCTGAAGCTTGAGTTTTTGTAACCCTCTGGCTACAGATCTCCCCCTTGGGCCCTGGCAAAGAACACACAGCCTTCTCTTCTCCCCTGAGTGGGTGGAGGTGTCACTGACAGCTGTGTGGGGAACACTGAAGGGCATGTGTGGAAGCGGGGGGCTGGGGTGGAGGCTCCTGCAGGGGATCAGGTAAGAGATGAGGGTGACCTGGCCTGCCCTGGCAGCTTAGAGGTGAAGAGAAGCAGTTTGAAGAGAGATTTTGCAAGTTAGGTAGACAGGCTTCACTTCTGGAATGGGTGTGGGGTGTGATGGAAAGAGAAGAATTCAGGACAAACAACCGGATGAATGTGCGGCCACCTGCTGAGCTGGGAACTCTGTCTCACTCAGGGACCTCATTCGTTCCCGGAGGTCTGACTGTTTTCATACTAATTGGCCCACCCATCTCCCTCTCTTCGCTCTGTAATGAGACTCACAAAGAGACCAGATTTCCTATTGTCCCAGACGGCTTCTCCCATTTAGAGAGCTTATTAATTTCTGAATCAAGATGCCAAGTCAGCTCCTGATCAAGGACAACACAGATATTTTTTTCCCTGACTTCAAAGTAAGTTTGCAGATGATATGTACGTAAAGCAGTCAACTTTGCACTTCCTCCCTGCCCCACCCGTCAGAGGGAGGTCATCTGACTCAACCTCAAGTGGAACAAAGAGGTGCTGCAGTCAGGCCTCTGGCTGCAATCTCCTCCCCGCAAGGCACCTGGAATTCCAACTCAAGAGTCAGTAAGGTCCAATTCGGGTTTAACTGCTTTCAGTAGCAAATAAGGAAAATTAGAAATGAAAAGATAATGAATTGTGAATATAAGCTTGTTTGATGGGTCTAAACTTGAAGGATGGGTATGGGGCGGGTGTAGGAAGAGTAGAATGGGACAGGGAATGAGAAAACCAGATCTTTGGGACTCTTGGCTGTAACAGGCACCCAGAAGAATTTGCTTCAAGATGGATTCATCATGTTTGTGAGTTGTACTTTAAGTCATAGCACAATTAGCTTCAGGAACACTGCCCGGAGGAGGACTATTTTCATCCTAAGTTAGTTCTTTAAGGAATAAGAATGTCCGGGGACAAGAAGCTCTTTGGGATGCACCCCTGTGCTTGAGAAACCATGATGGATTCTGGGCCTAGGGGATGTGACAGGAAAGGGACAGAAAGAAAAAACGGAACTGGGGAAATCAAGAGCAGAAAACTGCAAAGGATAATAAGTCAATTCAAAGAGATATTTCCATCGCTCCAAGAGAGTGCAAGGCTTATAAGGGAGCAAGTTGGCTTTCCTCATTTCACAGACAGAGCAGCCTTTCAGCCCTTCAGGGAGTAAGATGACGCCTACCCCACCAAGGAAGATCAGGGACACATTTCCAGAAGCTGATGAAGTGGGAAGGACTGTTTCTTTGCCCGGGGAGGTGGAGCTGCAGTGCCCAGAGCGGCAGGCAGTGCCAGGCCAGACAGGCCGGCTTTCACCCCAGCTGCAGATGTCCAGGGCTGGCAGTTCCAGGGCACAGGCTGATCCTGGCTAGAAGGAGAGCTGGGGAAAGGGGGTCAGGGTACATTTTGGGTCTCAAGTCTGGGGAATGCTCCTGTGCTCAGAGTTTTAGCTTTTGATAAATAGCCTTTAGGACTCTAGGAACCAGACATAGCTTCTCCTGTTAGAGGTGGTACAGCTACTCTCTAATAAGCAAAACTCTTAGAAATTAGAATCACATAATTTCAGAGTTGAAAAGGCCCTTTAAATCATTAGTCCAGTGGTTTTGAACGTTTCTTGGTTCACAGACTCCTATTATAATCGGATGAATGATGTGGAATCTGTCTAGAAACAGATACGTACATGTCTGCTTGCACACACACAATTCTGCATACAATTTGTGAGGGTTCACGGCACCTGACACCCATTAAGATGCTCTGTGGAGCCAAGGTTTGCTAGATCAATAACCCAATGCTTTCACCTTGTGGATGAGGAAGCTGAGAGAGAGGTGCCAGGGTCACCTGGTCACCAGAAGAGTAGGGCCTAGAAGCCGATCACCCTCTGACCAGGAGAGTGCTTTGTCCCCTACAAGACACCACCTTTCTGCTTTTTGCCCCTTTGGAATTGTTGCTGATGCTGCAGCAGCTGAAAAGGTTACTTTCAAAGAGAAATGTGTCTAGTAAAAATACCATCTCTAGATGTTGGCACAGTTAAAGAAATCATCTTAACCTGGCAAGAAGAGAGAGAAGAGAAAAGAACAGAGATGCCTCAACTCTGCTCCCCATTAGCAAATCATCTATAATTTAGGACAAACGTAAAGAGATGCGGGTGATCAAGCAGACGTACCTCCTGGCAGCCTCTTGTAATTTCACGGGCTGTTTGGCACTGAGGTAAATCAAGCAGGCATCAGCTACTTTATTCAGGTCACCCTCACCTGCAGAGAGGAAAAACAAAACAAGCGTTGGCCCTCAGGCTTCAGTGGGGATGAGCAGGCACCAACTGCTGTCTGATGAAACTGGAACAGCTAGGCAAGATGCTGTGGGCTCTGTACTCCATCCCAAGTCAAAAAACACAGCAAGGTAAATGGATAAATGAGGCCAAAGTGAGATGGAAGGATGTGCACAGGACAGGAGATGACAGGAGCATGGCTGAGTGAGGAGGGCAAGGAGGGGGGTGAGACAGTGTACAGTGTGTGTGCCCAGGTGAGACTGGCTGGTACCTACCTAGGTCCAGTCTCTCACAGAGGGGGCCCAGGCCCTGCAAGACGGCCAGCTGCAACTTGAAGGCCAGCGTGTGGAAGTAAACTGGTCCAGCCCTGGCACTGATGGGAGCCTGGCTGACTAAAGAGCCAGCCAGCTTTGGCAGGACATCTTTGCAGAACCGGTTCCTTAGAAAATCGCCACACTTGCCTCCCAGGGTACGCAAAACCTGTGGAAAGAGACCCCAACCCAGTGACTGAACGTTGCCAAGGCAGCGAGAGCACTAAAAGAATGTTTGCTAATTCAATTTCATCTAGGTCTCTGCTTGAAAAAGAAAAATAGAATTATTGCTGTTAATTCCTTGCCCACGGTTTGTGATTCTGACAGTTATGAATTTGGAGGTCTCTGCTCCCGAGGCATGGCTGCTTCTATCCATAAATACAGATTACATGGAGAATAATTCAAAGGAATCTTGGGTTGGATGAATAGTATGGTTAATACCTGGATTTCCCTTCCTTTTTTGTTAAAAAAAAAAGAGCTTAAAGCAGTTCACATAGATCATCTCTTGAATCTTCCTAACATCCCTCGAGGAAAGACTTGTGCTTTTAACTCTAGCTAGCTGAACAAACATAAACGGGCCCAGTAGCTGAGGTCCAGCTCAGCTGCTGCCACGTACAGGCATCGAAAAGGGCAGTGGCTGGCTGAGGTCCTTGGCTGGGTCAGGACAGGGTCCCCAGTGGGCCGAGCCGAGTCAGAGTTCCTTCTGTTCCATGGCACAATCTCTTATGTACATCACCCTCATTCCATCTTTCACGACAGGCAGTCTCTTTGCATGTCTTGTTTTAAACCTTCTCAAGCAGAACATATTGAAACGTTTTGCCCCACTGCACAAGACTGAGTATACAGGATAATAAGAATTTCTTTAAAAATTGGTAAGCAAGGGACTTCACTGGTGGCGTGGTGGTTAAGAATCCGCCTGCCAATGCAGGGGACACGGCTTCAATCCCTGGTCCGGGAAGACCCCACATGCCACGGAGTGACTAAGCCCGTGTGCCACAACTACCGAGCTGGCGCTCTAGAGCCTGTGAGCCACAACTACTGAGTCCGTGTGCTACAACTACTGAAGCCCACGTGCCTAGAGCCTGTACTGCTCAACAATAGAAGCCACCGCAGTGAGTAGCTCCTGCTCGCTGCAACTAGAGAAAGCCCGCACACAGCAATGAAGACCCAACACAGCCAAAAATAAATAAGTTAAATAAATAAATAAACCAAAAAAATTGGTAAGCAAGGCATATCCAGGACAGAGAACATTTACCGACTTTGTAGAGAACAAGGCACATATTTCAGGGCCCTCAGCAAGACTGCACAAGGCCTTACGGACCTCAAGGGTCACTAATGGGTCTGGGAGTGGAAAAGCAGCCTCAGTTACAGTGCACGTATCTTTATATTTTTTCATTTTTCTATATTTGCTGTCATTTCAGATAAACTATTAATTTTCATAAAGGAAAACGGCACATCTGAGTGACTTAGCAAGACCTCCCTCCTTCTCCTCTCCCCAACCTCCCTCCTTCCCTCTCCCCCACCTCCCTCCTTCCCTCTCCCCCCCCCACCCACATGTGCGTGTGCGTGTATGTGTCATTTTGTGTATTTTGGTTTGGAAAAAAATATTAACAATTTTTTATATGTTTTAAATGTAAGCTTACATTTTGGTCCAGTATATGCTGAAGAATCTTACAGAAACAAAATACTTTAGCCAAGTATATTAGATGCATTCCTGGCTTCATTCTATATCCTACGCATCTTTTTTCTTTGCCTCACCTTGCTCACCCACTTCTAATTGATGTTAGCTTGCTATGGTAAATGTATCTCTGTAACTTGCCTTAAGTGCTTTTCAGAACAAGGAAGGATATAAATAAATAAACCAAAATATGTGTGCTAATATAAGCCAAACTAAGTCAGGGAGAATAATACCTTACATACACAGAGGGCTTTTAACTTTTCAAAGCATTTCACTAAATAGTCCCACTTTATCCTTGACAACAACAACTATGAGAAAGGTGGGATAGGTGGTCACGGGCTTTGTCCAGAGTCACTCAGCTGGACAGAGGATGCCCATTGCTAGAACCTAGTCAGTCTTCATCTTGACTCTTGTGCCGTGCACAGAACATGGGCATGAACTCAGATTCAGGTACTATCACTTCCTAGCTGTGTGATCTTGAGAAAGTTCCTTAACTTTCTGGGCTTGTTTCCTCCTCTGTCAAAAATGGGGATACCAGTATCTTCCTTATAAGGTTGTTGTACGGAGATGAGCTCATGTGTGAAGTGCCAAGCATGTCGCCCGGCACAGAGGAGGTGCTCAATGAATACCGGTGGCCCTTTTCATCTACTAGTTCTCTCTGCTTCAAATTCAAAAGGAAACTGACTTTATTTTCTTCTTTGTGCTTTTCTTATTTGCCTATACTTTCTTCAAGGTATAGTAGGTCACAATTGGATAAAAAGAGAACTACCCCCAAAAGACACCACTGAGCTCTGTGCTCACTTCCCTCCATCCCCATGACTGATGGCGGTGGGGCAATAGTGCAGTACCTTGAAGGCTCTGAGCACTGCCAGGGGGTCATCATTTGTGAGTCGGTGCACGAGCGAGGGCCACGCCCGATGAGCCAAGGGAAGGAGCTGGTTCTTGTGGGACTGCAGAACAACCACACACAGATCCAGCACATCTAAAACCTGCAAGAAAAGAGGACAGTGTTTCGGCAGATAGTCAAGGCTTGAAACCAAATACCTGGGATCAAGTCACCATTTTAAAAGAGTAAAACTTAGAAACTCATGAGTCAAGGAAATCTTTACGAGTCCTGACTACATGCCAAGCACTGGCTAGGTACTGGGTGGGGGCACACAGGGACAAAATACTTACGTTTCCTTTCCTTGGCTTATGGTCAACTGGGGAAAGACTTCAGATAACACCGAAATAACGGGATGAATGACTACTAATTGTGACAAGTACAAGGAAGGAAAGTCAAGGGGGAAATGCAAGACACTAAAGGGGGGGGATCTATACAATACAAACTGTTGGGAGGGCTTCTCTGAGGAAGTAACTTCTATAAGGAGGCATAGTGGAAACAGTAACGAGGAAGACCCAGAGGAGGGAGAGCTTGCAGTGCTTAGAAAACTAAAGCAGGGCAGCGTGAGGCGTGACAGAGGAGGGGTAGGATGGGACTGGACCTCGACGACGTCACATTAAGACTTTTTAATTTTGTACTGAATGTGGTGGGGAGCCGTGGAAATGTTCAGGCACGTGCTGTGATACAATTCATGTTTTTAAAAAGTCACTCTGGCTGCTGAGTGGAGAAGGGACTTGAAGTGGGAGTGAGAAGAAGTGAGGAGGCCCTTGAGGGAGCCACGGCGCACGTCCACATGGGAGGCGGGGAGTTACGCGGCTACATGGTCGTGGCCGAGGCAGAGAAGTGAAGGGTTTGAGATCTGTTTTGGAGATGATATGGCTTAAATTGCTGAAGGACTCACTCTTGGGGAGATGAAGAGAGGAATCGAAAAGAGCTGCTTGGGTTCAGGATTAGCAACTGAATAGATGCAGGTGCAGCTTAATGAGACAGGAACAAAGGAGAAGGAGGAAACCGGGAGGGTGGGTGAGATCAAGTTCTGTTACCTCTAAATGGAGAGGTCAAGTAGGCAGCTGGGACACAGGTCAATCTCAGAAGAAAGGTCTGGGGTAGACTAGATGTAAATTGGGGTTTTTATCTTCCCTGAGAATATGTTTCCTGATCTCTCATGTCTCAAAGCTCACTGAAGACAGACGACCTGCTCAGTGTCACAGGCAGTGGTCGCCACGATAACCAAGTGCAGGCTTCCCTCCTGCACATATGGGCCAGCCTTCCCAGAGCAGGGGAAGGTACACGTCTGAGTCAGGAAGACAGAGTAAGGTCTGCAGTAAACCCTTACTGGATGACTACTGTGTGCTGGTCACACGGAGACTGGAACAGAAACAAAGAACAAAACAGGCCCTGCCCTTGAGGGCTGAATAGTTAGGCAGGGGAATAAGAGAAACCTCAGGAGAGCAGAGTAGTACAGTGGAAATGGCTTTGGTATCACTGACTGGCTTTGGATTTGAGTTCTGTCACTAACTGGGTAAGTTACATCATACTCCAGTGAATCATTCCCCTTCTGCCTGGAATGTTCTTCCCCCTCCGTTTGCCCCTGCAGGGCTGGCTCCTTCTCAGCCTTTAAGTCTCAACTTAAACATTATCACCCGACAACTGGTCTAAATCAGAACGTAGCTCCCTCTTATTCAACAGGGTTTGGTAGAGTAGGTTCCCAAAATGTGTTTACTACATGGGTGAATTTTCTATCATAGAACCTTCTTATTACCTTCATAGCATTTCCTCCACGTATATGTATTTGTGTATTACCCCTTTCCCCTCGAGAGACAGGAAGTTCCGTGAAGACAGGGATCATGTCTGCTTAGTTTCCTTCTATATACCCTCTGCCTGACCTATAGCAGTCCTCAATAAGCATTTAGTGAATAAGCGAATAAGTGAATGAGTGTATATGCCATGTCTGATGCTAACTGTTTTATATTTATAGTCAATGACCCACTGAGGTAGGTACCATCATTTTCATTTTACAGATAAAGAAGTTGATGCTCAAAAAGGTGAACTGACTTACTCCAGGTGGCACGGCTAGTGAAGGGCCGAGCCAGGGCTGGAACCTGGGTACGCAGATCTGACTCCAGTGTTGATGCTCTCAATAGCTACAGTGTATATACGCTGCTACAAAGCCTCCAGAAGAGGGAAGACACTTTACTGATGTGTCAACCAGACACCACCAACAAAAGGCTCCTGAAGAGTGCCTCCTGAGTGGAAAACCCGACAATGCTAAGTATCTCTGGGAAGACTAAACAAATTCCGCAAAACCCAGATGCTGAGTGAGGTAATCTGTGGGTCAGGGTTACCCAGCCCCCACCCATGACCAGCGCAAAGTGCTCTCATCACTATCAGTAATGCATGGAGGCGACTGTTTCTCACTCCTGTTTGGGGCTAGGGAGGAATGGGTCAGGCTGTGCTTTCCTTTGGGTATAAGATCTGCCCCCAGGTGATTCTGAAAGCTGTGTCCCCCATGCCCACCCCGCCCCACTGTCCTGTTATCGGAGTCACTACTGTATAGTTTAAGTCTTTGCTGACGGGGAGGCTGCTTGGGAAACTGCTAGCAAACAAGGATGTAAGATTAAGAAAAGTGTTGGTGCCAGGCCTAGGATGAAAATGGAAACAGAAACAGAGACCAGGGCTAGCGTCAGGCTTGGACAAATGACCACTTCAAAATATTTAAACCTGTGTCCCACATTAAGTCAGCTCAGAAAGTGATATCCTTTCCAAATCATATGACTTTTTCCCCCTTGGAGATGCAATAACGCTCCAAAACTTTGTGGTTTTTAATTCTACCAAGGGGACTCGGATCCCTTTTGGCCTCTGGGCTGATACAGAAAGACGTAAGACTGGCATCCCACAGATAAATTCCTCCTGATGCCTTCTCTTGGCCACTGCACATGCACTGGGAGATAAGGGGGGGCTCCTTGCTCATCCATGTAGTCATTGCCAATAGACCAAACCCCAGGCCCGCAGCTCTGTGAATGCAGGGAAAGGGCCGCACACTGACCTTCAAGCGGATTTTCAGATTTTTGTCTGACATCAAGTGGATGCAGCGCTCCATCACGTCCGTGGCTATTTGGATCTGCACTGGCAGTGGTGGCTGCACACTGGGATCAGTGTCATTCTCATCCACTTCGGGAGGGTCTGACTGCTCCTCTGGAAAAAGAGCATAACTGGGGGCAGTGTTTTACGAGAGATGCCCCACCCCAACTTGATCTCCCAACTTCAGATAAGGAGTAAGACTTACAAGGGAAAATGTCTAGGAACTGATTCCAAGGAAACCATGTAAAATTTGGGTCAAGCTACGAGTCAAGATATTCACCAAAGCATTACCTGTAACAGCTAAAAACTGGGGGAAAACCTTCCATGTCCACTCAAGGGGGTACGGTGATATAAACCATGGTATATCCATACAATGAATGGCACATTATGAGGGCCTGAAATTTTGCATTTACCAAGGGCTTTAATGACAAGGGAAAATGCTTATGAAATAACATTGTGTTAAAAAGAGAAAAGCAGGATACGAAATTGCATACACAATGTGAGCACTATTATATAAAGTTTTATATAAAGATAGGAGGAAGTTCAAAATATTAACAGAGACGGGGTCATGAGTTAATGGATGATTTTTATTTTTTCCCTATATCCTTAGTTTTTTCTAAGTTGCCATTAATAAATATTTAAAATAAAAACATAAGAGGGCAAGATTCTAATTTGGAGCCCCGAGGCTGGCAGTTCCCTAGCTGGCCTCTGGCCCTTTACTCTCTTTCCTTTCCTTTTGGTTCATCTTTTGACTAAAGCGGGCACATGTCTGTCTTCTCTACCAGCCTGTAAGATCTTCTGAGGGCCAAGATGAAGCCTTACACATCTTGGTATGAGGGACAACACCAGGGCAGCCTGGTGCAATATACAGGGATGGGGTTTGGTCAGAGGACTAAAGTCTTGCCTCCACATCCTATTAGCAACTCCTCTCATCCCATGTCACCTCATTTGAAAAAAAGGGATAAAGCATGTATACCTCATCTGCTTGCTGAGAGAGTTAAATGAGATGCATGTCACCAGCTATTATCATTTTTCTCATTGCCTGCAGTGTTGCATTGCATGAGATAGGTGTTAAGTTTGTAAATTAAAACAACAAAAAGACTTGAGAGTTGCATGAAACCCTGGCCAAAATTCCTCCCCTGAAGGTTATCCTCTATCTGCTTATAGCCTCCAGTCTCCCCACACCCTCAATACCAGCTGTGCTCATTTACACTGAGCTAAGCATTGCTCCCCTAACTTTCTGCCATTTCAGTTTCCTCTGCTGGAAAAACAGAACCTTACAGTAGAGTGCACACCTGTCTCTAACAGATGCTGAAAAGATAAATGAAAATGCATTTGTAGAATGCTTGGATTTCTTGGAGGAAGGGACGTCAGATATATAAGGTGCTCTTACTGTGGTTAAAACAAAAAACCCATGTCAAACCAACATCAATCCAAACATTCCTTACAATGCCAAGTGTGTGGTGTGTACTTGATGAACGATAATTATAAGAATGATAAGGCTGTGCTTTTCTTTCTAGAGGAGGATTTGTTGTTTGAAATACACCTACTGCGAAATGTTATCTGAGGGATGTGGATTTTGCTACCGGAAGAAAGATTTGATTCATTCAATCTGCTCCTAGCCAACATCAGCTAGAACCAGAAGATCCTAATCATGAAAGAATTGATTCAGTGACAATGCTAGAATTTCAAACAAGAATGGCAAATCTGGATTATGAGGGATCAAGATGCCTCTTCTTCACGGTTTCTAGGCTTGAGCAAAGGGTGCAGTTTATGAGAAGGATTGGGTTGGCTCAAGAGACAAAACTGAGAAGAAAAAGCCTGATAGATTTCTGATTAGAAAATTCTGTTCTTGGGGAGAGTAACAACTCAACTCCGCATAAATCATTATGTGGGCCTTGTGATGCTTCCCTGCTATTTAGAAGGAATTTGTTGCAGTTAGTTGCATTGAACTACTATTTCCTGTTATCCTGGAGGTATTTCCTGTTATCGTGGAGGTATTGGCTTCAGTTCATCAGAGTCTCAGAGTAGAGTGCCAAAAAAAAAAAAAAAAGAAAAAGAAATCTGCTCTATTCCAACCTAACAAACTAATTTGGGACTCAGTTTGATTTAGGATAGTTCTGAGACCACCAAGCTCATTATGACTTGGCATTTTATATTTGCAGAGGAGATTCTAATAATTTATTAATCCTTCCGTGACCTGAAGCTCCAGATTGAGCTTGTGAATAAAACAATAGGCCAGAGCTTCAACTAGCCTGAACTCCCTTCTCCTTTATCGTATAAATTGGTAAGAAAAACACTGGAATCTACTCCTACCAATAAATAAAATAAATGGACAAAGCATGTGAAAAGATAATGGACATAAGAAAAAATTGTTAGGAAAGATGCATATAGAAAGATGTTCAACCTTTCTAGCAATCAAAGAAATGCAAAATAAAATAACGAGAACCATTTTAATTTAGCAAGAAGTAAAACTGGTAATAGTCAATGTTGGCAAGCTTGTGGTGAAACCAGTATTAATCCTGAACTGCAGAAGAGAAGGTGTAAATTGCCACAACCTTTCTGAAAGACAATTTGGCAAGCATAACATGATGTTCATATCCCTGACCTAGAAATCCCACTTCTGAGATTTATACAGAAATATGCAAAAAGAAGGAAAAGGTCACGTGCATATAGAATCATGCACTGCAGCACTGTTTATTAGAGTGAAAAGCTAGAAGCAACCTAAACTTCCCACAGGGGAATGTATACTTAGTGGCAGCTATTAAAACATTAATTATGAAAACTCCATAGCAACATGAAGAGTTCCTTATTATATAACTAAATGCAAAAACGGTATAATGCATTTAAACTGTGGCTGCAACCAAACAAAAACAGGTTTGCAGTAGAAAAGGATGGAAAACAACTACACACAAAGAGAATGCTTACGTTAGCATGGCGGGGGTTATTTGTGACCTTTCTTATTTCCAAACTTTCTATCATGATGTTTCATTGTTTTTACAATAATCTGCTTCCAAAAGTAAAAAACAGCTGAGGCCAAAATAAATAATAGTTACCTTCTTCATTATCAAAACCCGAGACATTTCCATCAGCTACATCCTTTTCCTTGAGGTAGTTCAGCACAAACTGTTCAATGTCTTCGGCTGTTGTGGTATTCTCAAGTCCTTTCTCAGGACTTGCTGGTCTTTGGCTCAAATGACTTCCCTCTTCCCCTACACTTTGCTCTTGGAGTTGCCCGAGATGACCTGCGTCTGGGAACCACTGGGCTATAAATAAAGTGTTATAATGATCACCTTGGTCATTGACAACAGGCATTAGTACTTTCTAAGTAAAATAAGCTCTCTGCCATGGCCTGCATGGTGCCCACAGGAGCCAGTCCCTACCGGTCTCTCCAACCTCCTCTTCTAACCACTCCCGGCTGCCCAATGCGCCAGGTATCCTCCTGCCTTAGAACCTTTGCACATGCTGTTCTTACTATCTGGAATACTTTAACCTCCTTTGTAACATCTGGTTAATTCCAACTCACTTTTCATGTTTCAATACAAATATACATTACCTAGTAAAGCCATTCCTTGACCCCCGTGCCCCCCCAACCCAGCCCTGCCAATCTAACTTAGGTCTTTTATACGCTGTCTTATACAGCACCATGTTCTTTTCTTTCAACTCATCACAATTTGTAATTACTGTATTTACTTTGTATGTATTGTTTAGTGTCTGAATCTCCCATTAGACACTGTGTTCCATTGATCACCACTGGAAAGCCAATATGCCCAGCATGGAGTGGGTGCTCAAAATATATGCTGAATGAATAAATATGCTAGACTGGAGGAAAGCTACCAGTGACAAAATTCTGAGTGCAGGATACACTGCTCATTAGCGGAAGAAAGGCTCTGCAGAGCCTTGAGAACGGACACAGTCTCACACAGATATCTGATATAAAATGCTTCAGAAGGCTGGCATTTTCTCTCCAAAGCTTTTCCTTTTTTAGTGATGCTCCAATACTTCTGATGTGTCACTGCAGAATAAGCCTTAAACATTACAGAACCAGTGGTTTTCAAACTGTGTCTTGAGGAGCCCTAGGGCTCTGCAGAAATGTCTCAGGGTCACAACAGGGAGGGCACCTAGAGACAGCAGGTTAAAGGGTGGGAACAGAGTTTCTATGCCTTCTTTTACCAGCCCTGCTCTAATTTGAACTCTTTTTGTATACTGGGGTCCCCCAGGGCTTCATTTCAAAAAAGGCTCTTAATACTTAAAGAATGAATCAACAAGAAAACTCTATGGCCTGAATTTTTGCCCTCCTTTTGCAGACAGCAGGGGAGAAGTCTCTGATGACCTTTAGCACCTGCTAATCTCTTTTCTATCAAGGAGCATCTGCACAGAGCCACAGCAACAGCAAATGGGCTACGCCAGGGCCAGGCCACTGGGAGCAGCAGAGAGCAAATGCTGGATATGAGAGCGTTTGGTCCAGTACCTGGAGATTCCTACGTGAAGGGATCGATTATGCCATTTCTTCAGTGCCCAGGCATAAATCTGTCCTTAATGTACTCGGAGGGACTGCATTCCCAATGGGTTAAAGCCAGGGCCCAGCATTTACACTGCTAAAAGTAGACATGCTGCAAAGATTATTTTCTAGATTTAAGGCAAAGCAGCTCGACCTCACTCTTAATGCAAATTAAATTGTAATAAGGTGCACTTTTTCTCCTACTGGATTAGCAAAGATCAAGAAGCTAGGTAACATACAGTGTGGGTGACGGGGTGGCAAAATTGGCGCTCTCTTACATTGCTGATGGGAGTTTAAACTGGTGCAACCTCTTCACGGAGCAATTTGAAACTCTTTATCTATCACAGATTTAAATGTAATACCCTCTAAGCCAGCAACTGTCTTAGGAATATACTCTACTGGTATACTCAGACATGTCCAAAATGACCTACAGAGAGTACACTACAGCATTTTGGGGGTGGAGGGGGCAAAAGACTGGAAACAACCAAAATGTCCACCAAGAAAGGGCTGCTTAAATTATGGTGCAGCCACACAATAGAACATTGTGTGTCCAGAAAAACACGGCCTTGCATGTGTGGATGTGGCACAGTCTCCGAATGCTGAGGTATGTGGTATGCATGCTTTCTCATTTTCAAAGCTACCCAACTTTTTTGTTGTTATGAATAATCACTGGATCAGCAGGTGGTGCTAAGGAGTAATTTAACTGATGGTTCTTGCCTTCACTGTGGAACCTAATGCTTTTTTAGTCAATGCCTGTGAAACACTGTGTATGTGGTAACTCAATTTCCTAAAAGATATAGTGGGTTCTTTTAAAACCTTCTGGAAGTTCTCTGAGACCACACTTCCACTCCCATCTTAAAAGAGTGACCATCAGTTAGACAATTCGAATGACAAGAGGAAACGCCAGCAGGCAGTGCTACTTTGATTTGTGTGAGACCGATCCTCTCCCCAGGACTGCTTACCATTCAAAATGCAAGTGTGGTCTGGGTTATTTCAAAACTTTCAGAAAAGCTATCCCCACTTCTGCTGGTTTTCCTAGGATGCTCTCAAGTCAAGCTTAACCATCCTCATTTTCCTCTCTGCAATTTAGAGAAAAGGTGCTACACAGGATTCCTCTTCAGAGATGACCAGACACTGGCAATCCAAGGCAATTCAATTTTCACGGCCCAAATGGAGATATCTCCTGAGAGGATATATTTAATAGGCCTTTTGTTAATATATATTTTAAAACTCAAACTGACATGTAGTAGAGTTCCTCAAAACACTAAGGATGGAAGCCTGGGGTATATTTGGGCCATGGAAGCCACTCATAGTCTAAAATCTATAAGCAACAAGCCAGTCTTAGGAGCGTTTCCACGTTCTTCTTGGTCACCACTGCCATCCCAGTGACTAGTCCAGCACACAGGCTTCCGAGTGGTTGCAAAATACAACCCCCACTCCTTCCCTTGGTCTACAAGGCCCCGTGGGATTCATCCTCACCCAGCCTTCCAATTTCATCTTGTGTCACTGTCTCCACAATGATCTCTTCTCCATTCTCCAAAGACCCCAAGCCCTTTCTTCCCTCCAGGCCTTTGCACCTGCTGTTCCCTTTGCCTGAATGTTCTTAAAAAACATAAAAATGATGGGACAGCTCCATTATGTACTGATGGGCCCTTCTCAGCCTTCAGGTCTCAGCTCTACTGCCGTTTCCTCAGAAAGGAAGTGCCATGATCAAGTCCCCTGACCACTCTGCTACTGTCCTGTTGCCCTCCTGCAGTAGCAGGAAAGCTCCTTGAGTTTATTCATCTTCTTCACTGCTGAATCCTGATTACTTAGCACAGTGTCTAACACACTGCAGGTAAGCTTTACTGAATGAATAAAAGAGTATGTACACTGCATGTGAACGTTCATGAATGAATGAATGAACACTGGAAGTGGTATCAGCTACAGGGCAGAGAACTGTCCCTGTTCAGTCACCTTCCTTGAGAAACTTTCTTACATGGTCTTAGCTTTTTCAGCTGACAAAATGAGGTCAGTGACCTTTCCACCTACTTTGGCGGCTATTAGAAGTACTGAAATAAATACTGGAGGTATGCTCTTTGGACAAAAGGAACTCATGTATATAGCTTATAAATTTTATTAAAATTTATAAATATTTTTTTTTTTTTTTTTTCATTCGAAGATTGACTATCCAGTGAAGGGATTCTCTTTCTCATAGTCCAAAACTTTGCCATTTTAATGGTGGGTTAACACCTCCAACAGACACCCAACAGGGTGAAAGGGAAGTAGAGAAATTCAAACCACCTCATACAATTAAAAGGTTAAAAGAAAGTTTCTAGACCTGCTCTGTCCATCATGGTAGTCACTAGCTAGCTACATGTGGCTATTTAAATAAAAATAAAAAATTCAGTTCCTCAGCTGCACTAGCCACGTGTAGTTATTATATTGGACAGAACAGATATAGAACAGTTCCATCATCACAGAAAGGTCTATTGGACAGTACTGTTCTAGATTATCTGTGGACTGAATAATTTAAGTTAGCCCTGTTCTCCATTAGCATAGACACTGCTAACTCTAAATATTGTCAGAAACAGTCTGGTATATTGAAAAGAACAAAATTGTCATAAATCCTGACTTTCCTCCTTATTGTGTGACCTTGGCTAAGTAGGAGCTCACTGAGCCTTAGTTTTCCTTACCTGCAAAATAATGTTTACATTTAGTCTGCAGGGTTTATGTCCCTGCGACAGAGCAGGGGTTCAATAGATGGTAGAGATTATTAAAAGTATAAAAACATAAGCAATGGAACTCTACCGTAACATGTGGGACCAGACAGATACCTAGTCAAATAACGTCCTCCATAGCATAACCCCAACCAAAGAAAAAAACAGTTAGATGAACAAGGATACTAGTCCTTCCCTCCAATCAGCATTAAAAAAGGGCTCTCAATGTACCTAATGCTGTCAGCAGGGCATGCAGTACACTGACAAAGGAAGTTGTTCTCTTATCATAAAATTGGTCCAGGGTAGCCAAGACATCTTGAACCACATCTGCCACCAAAGGGAGCAGGCTAGCATCTGAGTTCTGTAGCATGACTTCCAAGACCTTCGGGGTATGCGGGTGGAGAGATAGATGACGCAGATTTAAAGAGATCCCATTTACCAAATAGTCTGAATTCTGATTGATCAGCTGCTGCAGGGAGTCGTAGCCACAAGCCTGGCAAATGTCCATCATGGTACTGATGGCCGCCTGACTGATAAGCAAGGTTTGGTCTCCAGCTTTCTCCAGGACTGGATAGAGGGCTGACATCAAGAGCAAACGGAAGTCTTTCCCTAGTGCGTGTGCAAAGTGGCCAATCCCTTCCAACTGGATGCATATTTGCCAGATGTTGCTGTTCATGGAGCAGATCGTGGGACTTGGCTTTGAGAAGGTGGGAGAAGAGGTAGCCTGGCAGGTGTGTGCACCAGAAGTGAGGGCCTGAATGCCTGACTGCATCATCGTCAGCTCCTCTCCCACCTCTTCAGCTTCCAGGCAAGTGACCAAATACCAGTTTTCTTGGCTTGTGTATTCTTCAAGTATTGATGTCACGATCTCCCTCAGTTCCTCTGGGTTTGTTTTAATGTGTTTTTCATGAACATTCTCTACCCCTAACCCAGCAGCCCCTACAACCAGTTCATTTAGGATCATGGCGGCCTGCTTCCGGTAAACCACAGACTCGTGGTACAGTTCCATAAAGGGATCCACGAGCAAGTAGAGGTTCCCATAGAAACCAAGAAGCTGACAAACCTGCCTCAAGAGCAGGAAAACCCTCTCGTCATTGAAGAAGCGAAAATATCTCCTCTGCATTTGAGCCCACGGCCGGGAGGCGGAAGTCTCTGGAGAAGTGCTCAGATGCTCAGAGTTCCAATGCCGCTCTTCAACGATTTTGACGTCGGCCACATCTAATTCCAGAACTTGGATAAGCGCTTTGGAAAGGCGCTGGAGATGGGCCACAGAGTTGAGGACAAAGTTCACTTTGGGGCCCAAGAGTTTCAGGTACCCGAGTAACAGGGAGAGAGTAGACAATCTGCCCTGATCGTCTTGGGAGTTCATCAGGCGGGGAAGGGACGTGGCAAGGGAGTGCAGGTTTTCTGACAAGATGTCAGCAAAGGCTCTGCTGCCCACCACGACTTTCTCATCTGCAAAACGTCTCAGAATTTTATTGCATTGGGCTTGGACGTCAGGACTCTCATCATTTACCAGACTCACCAGAGCCTTCAGAAGGGGACCAGCCGATTCGACCAGTGACTGACTGCACTTCAAGAGAAGGGCCTCGACAAAGTCTATCACTTCCAGCCTCACCTTCCAGTGTGGGTGAACTGAAACGCACTCAGTTATCTTTTTAATAAGGACAGTCAACCTGTCGCCGGTATTTTTTACCCAATTGGCTTCCCTGTGAACCAACAGCTCCGCTACTCTGTGCTCCACGGCAGGCTTTTCTCGGACCTCTGAGACTCTTCTGAGCTGTTCATCAGCCATAATGAAGCTCACTGTCTTGTAAAAGACCTTTAGGGAAGACACGACAATGCTGTGCCCTTGTTTAAAGTCTCCTGTGATGATCCTGGTCAGTGTAGTTGAGAGGCCAGGTAAAAAAGAAGCAAACAAATCCCCCAGCTGCTTTTGCTCAAGTTCATCCAAGGACCTTGGATGGTCTTGACACTCACATTGAAAGAGTAGAACCTGTAAACATTTTAAGGCAGCCATTTTAATTTGTTTTGATTTCTCCTGTTCTGCTAGGCCTAACAATAAAGATACAGCAAATCCTAAACGAGGCAGAATGGAGGGCTCATAAATAGTCAGAATGATGTCCCCATAAGCCGAGTGCATTAATGCACTGAGGCCCTGGATCACAGCCAATTTCAACTCCTCTGACACAGCTGCAGGTTTCTGAGAGTTGGGTGAATACAGGCAAGCAGAGAGTTCTGAAAAGAGTTCCTGGAGAAGTTCTTGTTCCTTCACACACGTTGAAGAGAGGACAAGGGTGATGCATTCCACCACACTCTGGATCAAGTGCTCTCTTTTGGGGCCCGGGGTCTTCAGGGTAAATCGCAAAGGGAAGAGGATGTACTGCTGAAGTTCCTGAAGGGCAGAGTCACTCACGACTTGTAACTGTGCCTGCAGACACTCCACATTCTCCACTGTCTGGGTCTTTGTGAGCTGAACACAGATGGGACGCAAGACGCCAAAGGCCTCCTCTGGAGTATCAAAAACCGCCATTGTGCAACAGGCTTCCTCTCACTGAGCAAACACCCTGCAGGCTGGAGGGAGGAGACTTTTCAGTAAAGAAGGCCAAGCTCAAAGAAAATACAAAGTGAACTTGCACTCATTCATTCAACAGACATTCAGTGGGGGCTTATGTACCAGTCACTCCACACAGTGCTAGGGGAGCAATGGAACGGAAAAGAGCCGGTTCCTAGTCTTAGGGAGCTCCCAGTCCAGGGAGGGAAGCAGATGTACAGTTACAACACAGTCTCTTAAGAATTAGGCTAGGCCTGTGCTTGTGGTCCTACGTGAGTATAGAAGACGTATGCGTCATAACACTCAGAAAGCCAGGGTGGGTTTCACAGGAGGAAGATGCTTGAGCCAAGACTCCAGGGAGGAGTGAATTGGAACCTGTGGGCTATTCTAAGGAGTATGGATTTTAACCTGTGATAGTGATGGAGAACCACTGAAGGTTTTGTCTTTTTTAACTTGAGGTATAATATACATAGAGCGAAAGGCACTAGTCTTAACATAGCAGCTCAGTGAATTTTAATGTACGCAGAGACTCACAGAACCACTACCCAAAATAAGATATATAATATTTCCAGCACCCTGGAGGGCTCCCTCATGCCCCTTTGCAATCAATTCCTATTTCCCCTGCCCAGAGGTAACCATTACTCTGACTTTTATCAGTCTGGACTAATTTTGCCTGTTCTTGTCATGGAGAGATTTCAAGCAGAGGTGATAGGAACAACTTTATGCATTGAAAAGACCCCCTGGCAGCCAGTAATACAGGAGAAGACTCAGAGCTGGGTGAGACTGAAAGCAAAACAAAATGAAAGGGAGTGGCCAGAGAAATGGGAAAACCAGGAGCGCACACTATCACAGAGACCATGGGAGAAGAGAGATTTGAGCAGGATGGAGAGGTGGATGGCAGGCAGGCAGTGAAAGGAGACAGGTTTATAGGTAAGTGAAGGAGCTGTGTGACTTTACACATGGGCTATGAGCCCATGACTTTGCATTTCCCCTCACAGAGAAGAGGCTCTTTTCTCTGTGAGGGGAAATGCAAAGTCATGGACTGATAGTGAATAAGAAGGCGGGTAAACAGAGGGCTTGAGGAGAGAAATAAAATTCTCAAATATTCCCTTTGGGGAAGCAGAGCATGCTGGGAAGACACAAAAGTATGGCCCAAGGGTACTGAGGACTGAGTTGAAGCTGGAGACCATTAAACATGCACAACTGTAAAACGCTGGTACCGGATGGAGGCTTAGAGATCACCTAGTCTGGTGGTGTCTCCTTCTCTCTCTCTCTCTGTCTCAGCTCTATTTGCTGGGGGCTTCTGAACAGATGATGACAAGAAAGTGTCCACTGCTTCTCGCTGTCCCCAGTAGTGCTGGCAGGCAAGTGGTGCCTGGTGGGTGTGGGCAAGACCTGCTCAGCCCAGAGAGAGAGCTGGTGCTGGATATCCTCCATGGGTCAGGAGAGGGCTCCAGGGCAACAATCAGGCTCTCATACCCGGGACAGAGTCTGGTCCACAGAACTCCATGAGAGGAAAGGCAATGCTGTTCTGTGAGGTTCGTTGGGGGGATATCTCCTGGTCTGTGACCCTCAAGAAGCCAGGGAAGGGAAGAAGCTCAAATTTTCCCTATTCCAGACTAGCAAAATGCCAGGTGTGGAGGCCAGAAAGCTGGGCCAGGGACTACTGACACCCTATCAGCACCAGCTCACACACTGATGACCCCGAGGCTACTGTGCCACCCCTTGCCCAAGGTACTAGTATTTAGAACAACAGAAGCAAAGGAAGTAACCACTTAATGGGACCCAACAGTCAGGAGCAGGAAATGCAAATATAGCACCCTTGAGGTGGTGAACCTTAGTTTAACAGAAATGCTAAAGGAGACAGACAAGAATATGAAAAATAATTAAGACCAATAAGGAAATTCAATTACAAGACAAAAGATATTTCTTAGAATTTAAAAACATGTCTTTCCACACTAAAAAAGCTCAATTGATTAAAAAAAAAAGGCGGTTAATTGCTGAGATCCAATTAGTGGCTGGGAAGATCAAGTAGAGCTATCTTAAAACTCTGAGCAAAAATACAAAGAGATGGAAAATGTGAGACTTGGAGCACAGATCTGGGAGAATCCACATATAAATAGCTGGGAATTCTGGAAGGAAAAAAAGGAACAGATGGAGGAGCTAAAACAAATAAATAACTGAAACATTTCTCTGAGCTGCAAAAGTATTTATCTGGAGATTGAAAAGACTGAAGGATACACACGTAGTCAAATTGTGGTAAAATTCCTGTACACTAAAAGATAAACGGAAAAGAAAATCACATATGTCTTCAGGAAGAAACAACAAATAACTTACAAAGGAAAAAGACCGGCTTTGGACTTCTCATTTGCAATAGAAGACAGTGGAAGAGCATCTACTGACTGCAAATAAAGGATTGTGGCCCCCAAACCCTACTTACAGCAAAGATATTCAGCTGTCAGGGTGAAGAGCCATATGTGAGGATTCAGAGAGGGTAGCACCACATGTCCTACCAGAGGACTCCATTCAAACAAGAAGTGACTCGAAACAGACCTAAAATGGGAAGATGAATGAAGAAGGAAACGTTGCTGAGTAACTTTTTTTTCTTTTAGCATGGAAAACTTTCTTCAAATAAAACGTTTAAGTGGAAGCCCAGCACGTAAAACAGATAAAATCAGAGGGTCTGGTTAAAGCTGGGGTGAAGGCGATGGCCGGGGGCTCTGCATCTCTCTTATTTACCTCAGGAGTTTCAAGACAATAACCTGGGGTCCCCTGAACTATGTTCTCAGATTATATGACAAAAACTGTAATACAGCAAGTGAGGTGAGAACACAACCTGTGCCAAACTGAACTTATCCGCTTTCTTCTGTATTCCCTTTGTGATTTATGGTCCTCACCTGGGCTAGACGCCTTAGCCTCTCTGCTTTCTTTCACCTCCCTCTTAATTCCACTGTTCCCTAAATTTCATCAGTTCTACCCCTTCAACATCTTTCAAAGCTGTTGAGGATGATAATCATCTATTTGATATTGGACTGACCGTAATGGTTTCTTCTCTGGCCACCCTTGCCCTGTGTGCTTGCCCTTCTTGAATCCATATTTCACACTGACATGTAAGTAATTTTTTTAAAACAAAAATCTGGATCACTCTTTTCCATGTTTAAAATCCTTCACCTGCTCTTTGTAGCCTGCCTAAAGTACAGACACCTTTCTACCATGGCATACAGGGCCCTGCACCATCAGGCCCCTGCCTGTCTCATCAACCTCATTTCGCACTGCTTCACCCCTTGAACTTGAAACTGCAACCATGTGAAATTATAAAACTTGCAATTTCCTAAACAGGTAGTGCTATTTCATATTCTCCTCCTTTCTCCTACCACTGTACACACTGCTATTACAGTATTTAGCATGCTGAATTATTTTGTATATGCCTGTTTTACCTACTTTAGACTGGGCAATCCTACACCTAGAACCTACAAGGGCATCTGGTATATGATAAGCAGTCAGAAACATCTGTACAGATTCTCCTTTCAAGTAGGATACAGTAGGGTATGGCAGGCCAATACTCCTGGTGACAACTAGAGAAACCAGATAAATTATAAAAAGCGTTTCTTAAAGCACCAAATAGTTGCAGAAGCAACAAAGACCAGATGAACTAATACTCTAGTGAAGGATGAAAGTTCACAGTGAGTCAACAATCAATAGTTGGGTTTTTTTGTTTGTTTGTTTGTTTTCCATTTGCTGATCCCGGACATGGCTCAGGATTATGAAGAGGCCCAGGCTGAGGTCTGTCACTGAGGAAAAAGAAACCACGACGCTTTTAATGTGGTCATATAGGACTGGAGTCCTATATGCAAAACCATAGTCTTCAGGGATCTCAAAATACATGACTTCTGAGAGAAGGCCGCTGCTGGGGGACAAATGGCTGAGAAATGTCCAAACAAATGAAAGAGATCAACCCACAGATTCAAGAAGCTCAGCAAAGCCCAAGCTGACAATACAAAGAGAAACACACACAGACACATCATAGTCAAACTGCTGAAAAACCAAAAGTATGGAGAAAAATCTTAAAAGTAATGCAGCAACAGAAGTGACAGGCAACTTCTCTAAAGAAATGATGAAATCCAGAAAACAACAGAATGACATCTTTGAAGTGTGAAAGGAAAGTAACTGCCAACCTTGAATTTTATACCCTATAAAACTCTTTCACAACTGAAGGTAAAATGCAAGACAATAATGCACAAAAGGTGCATGGATAGTATTAAAGGAGTTAAGTGTATTAAGAGTCTAGCAGTATCAGGAAGTGATAAAAAAAATCTGTATTAGATTGTCAAGAATGCATGTTGAAATCTATAGGGTAAACTCCAAAAGAGCTATAAAAGTTCAGACAGTAGTAAAAATGGGATAATTAGTACTTCTGATTGATCCAAAAGGTGAAAAATGAGAAAAAGGGAAGCAAAACTGGTGGGTCAAACAGAAAACAAATACTTAATAAGATGGTGGACAGAAGCCCAATTGAAACACTGATTACACGAATTCAGAGTTTCTCAACAGTGGCACTACTGACATTTTGGGCTGGATAATTTGTTGGTGGAGAGCTGTTCTGTGCATTGTCAGATATTTAGCAGCATCTTTGGCCTCTGTCCCCAACATGCCAGTAGCACTCCCCCAAGAGTACCAACCAAAAACGTCTCCAGATACTGCCAAATGTCCTGTGTAGGGCAAAAATCGCCCTGGATAAGAACCGCTGGTATAGAATCAACATAATCCCAATCAAAACCCCAGCAGCATTTTTATAGAAAGTTATAAGACGACTCTAAAATTGATATGGGAATGCAAACAACCTAGAATAGCAAAGACAATCTTGAAGAAGAGGAATTAAATTGGTAAATTTTTGTGGTGAAGTTTTACACTATCTGATTTCAAGATTTACTGTAAAGATACAATAATTAAAGGGCAAAAAGAAAGACAAACAGATTAGTGGAACTGAATAGAGTCCAGAAATAGTCCCCATATATACAACAGAGACTCCATATATAGACTCACATACCTGACAAAGTTGACACTGAAACCAACTGGGAAAGAATGGTCTTTTCAATTAAAGGTACTGTGCCACCTGGCTATCCATATGAAAAAATATATAGGTCTTGATTACATCTCATACTAGATTTAAACATGGAATGTCAAATAACAAAGCTTTCTGAAGAAAACAAAGAACGTCTTTGTAATCTTGGAGTAGCCAAAGATTTCTTAAACAGGACACAGAAAAGAGCTAACCATAAAAAAAAATGATAAATTGGACTACATTGAAGTTCATATAAAAGATTTTCTATAAATCATTAAGAAAAAGACAATCCAACAGAAACATGGAAAAGAAGTTGAACAAGCATACCACAATAGAGGCTATCCAAATGGCCAATAAACACATGAAAAGACATTAACATCACTGCTCCGGAAAATCCAATATAAAACTACAACAAAATACCATTACACACCCACCAGAAGGGCTAAGCTGAAAAAAAAGGGGAAAAAAAGAAAAAGGAAGAGAAAATACTAGGCGTTGGCAAGGATGTAAAACAACCAAAACTCTCATTCAATGCTGGTAAGAGTGTAATTGATACAACTACTTTGGAAAATCCTTAGGCTAAAGGTAAACATACATACGCTCTATGATCTAGTAATCACATTCTTTGGTATGTACCTAACAGAAATGCATACATAAATTTACCAATAGATGTGTTCTGGAATACACTATCCACAACTGTCCCCACAAAGAAACTACCCAAATGCACATCTATAGTAGAATGGATAAACTGTAGTATATTCTCCCAATGGGATACTATACAGATGAAGACTTACCACAATTGGAGATCTTCAAAAGAATGGGTTACGGGCTCAGAAATACATAAACCAGCTTTCTGTAAGGAAGAGAGTATAACAAATTGCTAGTATGGCATGACTATAAAAGGCAATCATATACCTTTATGGGATGGTCATGAAATCACACCTGTGTGACAATATGTCGATTACAGAAGGAACTGCTCAGAGATTTAGAAGCATAGGAGTCCTAGATTCTATTCCGATAAAATGCAACACTGATTAAAGTGGCACTGCAAAGTTTGATGTTTATATAACTGACAGCAACTGGCGTATTCTGGCCCAGAAAGTGATACTGGGATGAGGCTTTCAGAACAAGCTGATTCTCAGGGTGAGCAGAGAAAACAACCCAGAGTTCAACTGTGACAGACAGTGACTATATAAACCAGTTCTTGACTCTAACCCTTCAGCGGTCATAGAAAGCAGTCACTGGGGAGGTGGGGGAAGAGAGCTGCAATCGGAGTGCTTGAGTGAACCCATTCCCCTGGCAGCTTCTTCCCCTCCTTCCCATCTCTTTCTGCCTTTTCACAGGAATGGGCTGTGTAAGATCCCTGGGCCATGGCATCCAGGTGGTGCAGACAAACGGGACAATCTGTAGGTGCTATACTTTACAGACACTTAAAAGATAAGACACTAGACCACAAGGTACTTATTGTATCATATAGTTAAAAAGTGAAAAAGGGAGGAAAAACCCAAGAAGTACAAAAGGAACTTAGAAAAAGAATGAACACCAAAAGGGAAGGCTTCATGGAGGGAGGAGGATTTATGTTGGGGTGGGGGGACTACACACTTGGGGCTGCATGGGAAGGCTGTTCAAGGAACAATACCTCACAAGCAAAGGCCAGAAAGCAGAAAAGTTGTAGCCCCTAATAAAGGCAGAGACGAGAGGGAGACACCATCATGGCAAGTGAGCCATGCCTCACACAGGGGTGATGTTCTGATGAAACCACCTGCTCGGGGCCTTTGTAACTTGCTGTTCCACGATACATCCTCACGGCTTGCTCTCTCATCTTTCAGGGCTTTACTCAAATGTGAATTCTGAGGGAGGCCTTCTCTGATCACCCCAATTTAAAACTGCAACCCATCCTCACTCCTCTCCTGCCCTGCACTCCCAATCTCCTTCCCGTCTTTGAAATTTTCCTCCATAGCATTTAGTACCATCTGTCAAACCAAGTTATCCACCTATTTGTTTATTGTCTCTCTCTTCCCACTAAAATATAAGCTCTATGAGGGCAGTAATAGTTGACAGTTTTGTTTATTGCTTCCAGCAAAGAGCAGGCATTCAATATATGCTTGTTGAATCAATCACCATAGACCAAGGTCTGGCTCTCTTTGGTGGATCTTTGATATCAGATATGTGTGAACTGGAGTCTGGGAAAAACCCACCATCCTCTTCTTCTCCTGGGGTGAGTTATTCCTACAGGTAGTTGATCTCATCCATTACAGGAGGATCTTACTAGATTCACTCTCAGGAGGCAATCATAGTTCTAGATTTTGACTGTATGCCAGCCCATTTTTAGGGTGTTTCCAGACAGAATAAGTATGAGAACAGGAATCTGACAATCTGGGTGATAGTCCTGGCTCTGACAGTACCTGATCTGTGGTTTCCATGAATTTTAGTTTCTTCAACATAAAATAAACTTGGTGGATAAGATGATCTCTAAAACTTCTAACTTTGAATTAACTAGCACATGGTAGAAAGACTGGGTTTAGATCCCAGAAATAGGAGTTTAAATAAAAGAATTGCCAACACAAGTTCTTGACTAGAAAGAAGAGAATTAATATTTGTTGGAAAAACCCACCATATGCTAGGCAATGTACATAAATAAATTCCTTGTCTACAAGCTGAGTAACACAAGGTTCAGACAGATTAAGTGATGCCCAAGGTTACACAGCAAGCAGTGGGATTCACGTCAAGCCTGTGTGACTCCAAAGGCTGTATGCATTCTTTTCACTACACCAGAGGTTTCCAACCCAACTGTTTATCAGAACCAAGGGGAAACAATGTAAGTACAGATTCCTGGGCCTCACACCAGATCTACTGAATCAGAATCTATGTTGGGGGTGGGGTGGAACAGGTATGTTTTGGGAATCTATTATAAAAGTTTGCAAGGTCAGTCTGATGATCCATGAAGTTGCTAAAAGAGTAGAGTAGATCTCAAATGTTCTTACCACACACACAAAAGGGTAATTTTGTGAGGTGATGGAGGTGTTAACTAACCTTATTGTGGTAATCATTCTCAATATATATACACTGATATGTGTATCAAATCGTTACATTGTACATCTTAAACTTTTACAATGTTGTATCTCAATAAAGATGGGGGGAACAAAGAAAAAGAAGGCTAAGTAGGAGTGGAGAGACAGGACTCCCACTTCTACCTAACAGTAATTAGGAGCCCTCCCTCATGGGTGTCAAAGGAGGCTGAGTGAGGAATCTGGACTTCTACCTACACTTGGAAGTAACAAGGTTGGTCCCCCCACCCCTGCCTTATCCTGCCAGAGTGGTTTCAGAGGAAGCCAACTAAAAAGAAGACTTCTATAAGGTCCAGAATCTTAGAACATAATACAAAAATGTCCAGTCAAAAATCATTCACCATACCCAAGAACCAGGAAGATCTCCAAATGAATAAAAAAAGAAAAATCAATCAATATACGTTAACACTAAGATGACAGAGACATTAGAATTACCTGACAAAGTTATTAAAGCAGCTGTGATGAAAATGCTTCAATAAGCGATTATGAACTTGTTTAAAACAAAAGAACAGAAAACCTCAGGAAAGAAATAGAAGATACAAAGAAGAAATAAATTTTAGAACTGAAAAATTCAATAACAAATAAAAAGCTCAGCAGATGGGCTCAACAGGAGAATGGAGGGGACAAAGGAAAGAATCTGTAACATGGAAGACAGAGTAAGAGAAATTACTCAATCTGAACAACAAAGAGAAAACAGACTGAAAAGAGGCTCAGGGACCTATGGGACTATAACAAATGATTTAAGCATCCCAGAATGAGAGAAGAAAAAGGGCAGGGTTGAAAAAGTACTCAAAGCACTGAAAGCTCCCCAAATTTGGCAAGAGAGATAAATCTATATACTCAAGAAGCTGAGTGAACTCTAAACAGGATTACCCCAAAGAAATTTGTACCAATTATAATTAAAATTAAAAGTTGTGAAAACAAATGACAAAAAATCTTGAAAGCAGCCAGAGAAAAATGATACCTTGCCGATACGGGAAAAACTATTTGAATGACACTGGATTTTTCCTCAGAAGCCATGTAGGCCAGAAGGAAGCAACACAATAATTTTCAGGTGCTCAAAAAAAAAAAAGAACTGTCAACACAGAATCCTATACCCAGCAAAAATGTCCATCAGGAAAAAAAAAAAAGAGGAATGAACTGGAAAGATATCCTCAGATGAAGGAAAACTAAGAGAATTTGTCACCAGCAGGCCTACTCTACAAGAATGGCTAAAGGAAATTCTCTAAACAGAAAGGAAATGTTAAAAAAAAAAAAAAAAAAGAATCTTGGAACATCAAAGAGGAAGAAAGAACATGGTAAATAAAAATATGTATAAATACAATAGGTTTTTCTTATTCTTTTAAATTTTCTAAATTGTGTCTGATAGTTAAAGCAAAAATTATAACACTGACTAATGTGGTTCTAAATGTATCTAGAGGAAATATTTCAGACAAATATAAACAGGAAAGGGTAAAGAGACATAAAGGAAGTAAGGTACATATACTTCACTAGACCTGTCAAAAGTAAGTTATATACACATAATATGATACCTAGAAGAACCACTAAAATGGTTATACAAAGAGATACACTCAGAAACACTATAGATAAATTGAATGGAATTCTAAAAAATGTTCAAGTAAAGGAAGTCTGGAGAAAAAAAGAAAATGGAGAAACAAAAAAACAGAACAAACAGAAAACAAAAGAATTAAATTTCAGACTTAACCTCTAACATATCAATAATTATATTAAATATAAAATGTCTAAATACACCAATAAAAAATGACTGTCAGAATTGGTTAAAAAATATGACTTAACTACATGCTGTTTACAAGAAACTCACTTCAAACATAATGATATAGTCAGGTTGAAAGTAAAAAGATGGAAAAAGATATTATCATATAAACATTAATCAAAGGAAAGCAAGACTAGCTATATTAATATCAGATAAAGTGGACTTCAGAGCAAAAAAATTACCAGAGACCAAGAAGGACATTATATAATGATTAAAGGGTAAATCTATGAAGAAGACATAGTAATCTTAAGTGTGTATGCACAAAACAGAGATGCAAAATGTGTGAAGCAAAAATGGATAAAACTGAAAGGAAAAGTATAGGTGGTCACCACAAGTACAGGTGGTGACTTCAACATTCCTCTCTCAACAACTGATAGAATAGCAATTATAACACAAGAGCTCAACTACACCAACCAACATTTACATAATTGACATTTACAGAATACTATTGACAGTAGGATATACATTCTTTTCAAGTATCCACAGAACACACACCAAGATAGACCATATCCTGGACCACAGAATAAACCTCAACAAATTTAAAAGAACTAAAATCATACAGTGTGTTCCCTAACCACGATGGAATCAAACTAGAAATTACTAATAGAGAGAGAACAGGAAAATCTTCACACACCTGGAAATTAAGCAACACATTTCTAAATAATTCATGGACCAAGGAGGAAATGTCACGGGAAATTTTTACAAAATACATGGAAATGAGTGAAAATAAAAGTTCAACAAATCAAAATTTGTAAGACGTAGGTACAGCCATGCTGAAAGGGAAATTTATAGTATTAAATATATATATATATTAGAAAAGAGGAAAGCTCTTAAATGAATATCAATAATCTAAACTCCCACAGCAAGAACCTAGAAAAAGACAAATAAAATAAAATAAAGTAAAGCAAAATAAATCCAAAGCAAGCAGAAGGAAGAAATAATAAAAATCAGAGCAGGAATTGAAGTTTAAAACAAAAAATAGAGAAAATCAATGAACCAAAGAAATGGTTTACAGAGATCAATAAAATTGGCTTCTAACTAGACTGATGGGGGTGGGGGGAGGGAGAGGGAGAGAGAGAGGGAGAGAGAGGGGGAGAGAGGGAAGGAGGGAGGGAGGGAGGGAAGGAGGGAGGGAGGGAGGGAGGGAAGGAGGGAGAGAGAGAGGAATTACCAATACCAGTCCTACAGACTGCAGATATTGAAGGATAATACAGGAATACTACAAATAATTTTATACACATAAATTTGACAGATGAAATGGCAAATTTCTCAAAAAATACAAACTACCACAATTCACACAAGCTGAAATAGATTACTGAACAGCCTTATAAGGAAACTGAATTTATTATTTAAAGACTCCCAAAATCAAAGAAAAAAGAAAGAAGAAGCCTTCAGGCCCAGATGGTTTCACTGCAGATTTCTACCAAGCATTTAAAGAAAATTAACACCAGTTCTACACAATGTTCTAGAAATGGAAGAAGAAGGAACACTTTCCAATCCATTTTATGAAGCTAGTATTACCCTGATACCAAAACTCAATAAAGATAATATAAAAAAATTTTAAAACGGCAGACCAATTTCCCTCACGAATATAGATGCCAAAATCCCAAACAAAATATGAGGAAATATAATTTAGCAGTATGTAAAAAGAATTACACACCATGACAAAGTAGGACTAATTTTCAGGGATGTAAGGCTGGCTCAATATTTGAAAATCAATCACTGTTATTAATATTAACAGGCTAAAGAAGATAAATCACATGATTATATCATCGTCATCTTTCTGACCTCTAAATGTTGAAGTGTCCTAGGACTTAGTCACTGGGCCTCTTTTCTTTCTATACCTGTTCCCCCTATTACTCCCACATTTATAGCTCTACCTCAGATCTCTCCCTTGAGCTCCAGACCCATAAACCCAATTGCCTATGAGATACCTCTACTTGGACAGGCATTTCCAATTAGACATATACAAATCTAAACTCCTGCTCTTACTACCCAAACCAGCTCTTCCCACAGTTCAGTACATACATGCAAACTCCATTCTTATGGTTGCTTAGGCTAAAACCCTTAGGGCCATATAAGCTCTTGCTTCTTTTATACCTCATACCTATGCTGTCAGTTAATCCTGTGATCTCTTCCTCTAAAATATCCCCAGAATCTGACCCTTTCTCACAACCTCCACCCTGGTCTGAGTCTTCCTTTCACCTGAATTATCACAACAGCATAGTCCTCCTGCTCCTACCTTTGCACCCTTACTGTCTATTTTCTACTTAATAGCCACATGCTCCTCTTTTGCTCAAAATGGTCCAATGGACTCTTGTTTCATTCCGAGGAATATCCAAAGTCCTTACTATGGCCTATAGTCCCCCACACGATATGGTCCCTGGCAACTTTTCTAAGCTCATTTCTAGCCTTCTGGTTCACATCACTTGAGCTGTCCTCTTTGCTGGTCCTTGAAAATGCCAATAATGGTCTGACCTCAGGACTCTGCACTTGGTTTTCCCTCTGCCTGGAACATTCACCACATAGCATAGGGCTATGCTATGAAGGCTGTGATCAAATGTCACCATATCAGTGAGGCGTTCTCTGACCTCACTAATGCACGCCTATCCGCCCATACGTGCATTCCTCATACCTCCCTTTATTTTTATTCAAGGCATTTATAACTTTCGGGCTCATTTTACACACATGTTTATCTTCCCCTGCAGAAGGTAAGCTTCCCAGGACATGGATTCTGTCTGTTTGCCTAGAATAGTGCTTCAGACATAGGTTCTCAAAAATTATCGGCTGAATGAATAAATCAACCACTGGCTCGGGAGTGAAGAATTTGGGATAAGATAACCTTGATTTGATTCCTGGTTCTGTCATTTCTTGTGTCCAAGTGACATTGATTACTCACCCATGTTTAATGTTTTCTCATTTGTCAAATACTGATAATAACCCATACCCCACAGGACTGTTGTAAGGATTAAATAAAAGAATGTTCATAATGTGCTTAATACACAGTGACTTGGTATAAAAGTGCTCAGTATATGACACTGTTACTTAATACAGAAAGATGGCCTAGATTTGGACTCAAAGGCCCTAGGTTATAATTATGACTAGATATTGACAGTGATTTTAAGCTATTCACTTGTTTTATATTAATTCACCCAGTCAGCTACGAATAAGGTGCTGGGGTAAAAAAGACAGATAAAGTAGAGTCCCTTCCCTCTAACCTTAGTTATGTGATCTTGGGTAGGTCACCCAAGCTCCCTCAGCCTCATTTGCCAAATGGGAATAACATAATACCTATTGCATAGCTTTGTTGTATTAAACGAGTCACTATGTGAAAACACAGTGTCTAGCCCATAGCAGCAGCTCGTTATGTTGGCTCTGATTATGATGATTCCATTCTGAAGGAGGAAAAGCACCTAAGCAAAGAACAGTGCAGTATGAGCAAAAACAGGCATCAACTAGTACAGTGCCTCCTAACTGGAATCTGCCCACAACTGGTCAGTTCCACTATGATCAAGACATTTAAAAATTCTACTATGTCTACAATAACCTAACTCCCTACCACCACCCCACAGCAGTTAGAAGAACAAATTTCTCTGCTGATGTGATAATTGGAATTTAAAACTTTTTAAACAGTTAAAGGATAGAGTCTCAAATAGTGTTTCTTAAAGGAGGTCAACGAACCCACTGACTTCCTTACCCCACTCCCCCACAAAGTTAACATGTATTACTTAAATTTGAGCAATAGTCAAATGAACCCCCAGAAGGCAGCCTGTAATTCCCTGAATACAACAACCAACTGAGCCGGGAGCACAAGGGTGTGTTTGACGGCGGTCCTGTCACAGACTAAACATCGGAACTGGCCACTAAAGGTGGTCCTGGAGGCCTAGTGGGAGCCCACCGCGTGAGAAGGGGGGGCGTCACCTTTGGAAAAAGAACAGCAAGAGCCAAGGCGTGGAGGCGTGAAAAGTGCACGTGGGTGGCTTGGCAGAACCAAAAAAAGCTTTTTGTGGGGGGCGGCCAGAGAGCAGGACACGTACAGAGGAAGAGTGCTGCTGGGGCCTGCCAGGTGAGGGAGAAAGGTCCCGTTCCATTCCCAGGTCATGATCTCTCTGCCTCAGCATCCCCTCAGGATCCCCCTCTAAGGGTTCGCGGTTGCTGTTTCCCTCTCTTTCGCGCCACTCTCCCTTACCTCGTCTTCCAGCCTTTCCCTCACTCTCGCACCTCCTCTGCCGCGCCGGAAGTGACGCGTAACTCGCGCGCCGCACCGCGCCAGAAAGGTTCTGCGGGAGCGGGAGAAAGGGTTCCGGTGACACTCACTGCGCCGGCGTGCGGGCGCGAGCGGTCAAAGCGCCTTCCGGAGGCCGCCGAAGTGCGCCCTTTTCCCTGTCTGTCGCTTTCGGAGTGCTCCGAGCGAGATTCAAAGAGGCATTCGCCACGGGAGGGGTGTTTTACTACACTCTGACCCCCCCCCGGTGCCCCGCCACTCCGGCCCTTGCCCTTTGACCCTGCTCTCGCGGCGGGGTGAGAGGTCGGTGGCCATCTTGTGGCGGCGGTGCGGGCGGCTGTTACTGCGGAGACCCATCCCCTACCCCTCCTGGCCCCCCGGCCGTCTGTCAGTCATAAAGAGTCCCGCAGGCCGCCAGGTGAGGTTCCGGCCTCGTGCCATCGCTCTCCCCGCCGCACTGGGCGGCCCAGGCCGATCCCTGCCGGGCCTCACCGCCGCCACCATGTCCTCCTTCTCCGAGTCGGCGCTGGAGAAGAAGCTCTCAGAGCTGAGCAACTCTCAGCAGAGCGTGCAGACCCTCTCCCTGTGGCTCATCCACCACCGCAAGCACGCGGGACCCATCGTCTCGGTGTGGCACCGCGAGCTCCGCAAAGGTAAACACTCCCTCTACCCCCATGGGTCCTCCTCCCGGGTAGCCCTCTCCCGCACCCCGTCCCGAGGCCCCTCTAGCTTCTTAGCTGAGCCTGGCTTTCCAGGCCTGGGCCTGTGATTGATTGCGCTTCTGAGGTTGGAGACAGTGTTATCCCCATTTCTCGGAGAAGGAAACCGAGGCCTGGGAAGGTTTAAGGTACTTGTCTGAGGTTCCACCGACCGGGGCTCAGGACTCCCAGTTAACCCAGCCGCTTTCCTCTCCGGCTCCTCCTGACACTTGTGACCATTATTCTCTCGGCAGCGTTGAGCGCCTGGTGGAGGGTACAGGCCTTAGCCTGTTGTGTGCCAGGCAGTTGCTGGGCATTCGGAGTAAGATTACCTAGATCGAGCCCTTGGCTCAGTCACTTGCTAGCTGAGTGATATCGGGCAAGTTTCTTCTCTCTAAGCCTCTGTTTTCTCATCTGTCAAAAGAGGACAAGGGTAACTGCCACTTCCAGAGCCTTTATTCTGTGCCAGTCACTGTGCTAGGACCTTATGTATATCCTCGCACTTAGTCCTCAGCACTGCCCTGGGAAGTGGGTACGGTCACTGCCCTTGCAGAGAAGTCAAGGGGCCGCACCACCTAGACCTTGCCTCTCAGGTTCCTCTTCTCATGCAGCTCTCCTTGGTTCTAGGCCCTGCTCAGCATCTGGCAGCCATTGATTGAGCTCAGCCTGTTGTGTGCCAGGCACTGGGTTGGGAGCTTAATAGCATGTTGGCTCCAGAGGCCAAGTGCCTCTGGAGCCTGACTTTGCCATTTACTGAGCCCCCGCAGCTTCACCTCTCTTTGCCTCAGTTTCCTGATCTGTAAAATAGAGATAATGATAACTGATATTTACTGTGCCTTTGTTCTGTGCCAAGTGCAGTACTGATATCATTACATACATTGTCATTTTTTACGGTCTCAGAGTTCTGTGAAGTAGGAGCTCAGCAGATGAGAAAATAACGGAGGCTCAAACAACTTGGGGTGAAGAGTAAACAGGATAATCCACATGAACATCTAGCATGGTGTCAGGCAGAGTGTAGGCACTGGATAAATAATGGTGAGGTGGGATACTGATTACTCAGTGTGGGGCATGTTCTTTGCCTCGAATTGCTTACAGTCTGCTGGGGAAAGATGGGCACCTACACAGCTATCTGATACCCCAGTGAGCTTCATAGCAGAAAGCTGAGCAAATGAAGCTTAGCGCTGTTTTGGACAGCCTGTATGTGGTAGGCCCTTTATAGCATAGGAAGTAACTCTACATGTGTTCTCTGCTATCTGTGAGGTCAGGATGTCACTCTGTTTTACAGATGAGGAAACTGAAGTGGCTAAGTGGTATTTTCAAGGCCTTAGAACCAGTGAGGCTCAGACTACATCAGACTGGCAGACACCAAAATCCAGGATTCTTTCAGGAGACCCAGTTCTAGTCCTCTGGCAGAGACCCCCCCGCCCCCCAAATATCATGTGCTGTACTGAGATGGGGGTCCCCTCAGCCCTCAGGGTAGTTGGCGGATAGATCCTGGGCCTCCCAGAGCCCCATTCATGTACCCCACTGTGCCATTCAGATACCATTTCTGTCATCTGAGATGTGGCGGAAAAATTCGAATTGCTTTCTACAGGATCCTATCTGGTAGGATCTCAGAGGCACGTCAAAATCCACCTCAGATGTCACTTCTGTGAAGCCATCTTGATTCCCCACCTCACCCTATTTGAGATACAGAAAATAAAGAGTACTTTCGTTTATGAAGCTCCTTTAACCCTAATCTCATATGATGAAACCTTAAGTTGTTAGTAGGTCAGCATTATTATCCCCATTTTATAGATGAGAAGATACAGATATGAAGAGGTGAAGTGCTTTGTTCATGAGTGTATAGTTGGGACATTAGCCCAGAGCTCTGAGACGCCGAAACTTGTTTTCAGGTGCCCGGTGCATCAGTGCACTTAATAAGTGAAGGTGATCATCTTACTCCAACCAAACCCGTAGTGCTTTTATTTATTAGAATTAATCTGCATTTATTTCATTCTTACTAGTTATGTCTCTTTCACTGGATTATGTTTTGAGGGAGAAACTAGCTCTTCTAGTTGTCCGTAATGTACACAACATTTAGCATGGTGCCTGTTAACAGAGTTAAAAAATAGTTCAGGTGTTAAATTGTGGTCTCTGGACATCATTTTCATGGCTGAGTAAAGGATCCAAGCGGCACTGTCTAGAGCTTTCTGTGATGAGAGAAATGTTTTATATCTGCTCTGCAACAAGGTAGCCTCTTGCCATGAGCACTTGAAATGTGTGACTAAGGAAGTAAACTTTCAAATAAATACAATTGAAAATTTAGTTCCTGAGTTTTGTTAGCTACAAATTAGGTGTTCAGTAGCCACATGTGGCTAGTGACTATCATACTGGACAGTGCAGAACTACAGGATGCTCTTCCAAGCATCAGTGTACAGTTTCCTAATACCCAGCCTTCCTTCATGAATTGAAAATGCCCCCGCACTGAAGTGGAAAAAGATTTTGTGCCCTAATGTTAGAATTGACTAGCCCTTTAGGTTCTAGCCCACCCTGAATCTTTAAAAATGGACATTTCTATCTATAGCCAAGTCATTTCCTTAAGACATTTCACAAACCATCTCTGTTTTGCCTCCAAATATTTATGAGACTTTAAAAGTTTTCTTTTTCCTGCTTAAGTACTACTTCTATTCATGATGTGTTATTTTCTTTCCATTCCCTAGGAATAATCCTTAATTTATCCCTTTGGGCTCTGTTCTAGGTAGAACTTCTCCCTTTCTTTTTGGAGCAGTTTGGTGTAAAATACCCTAAGATGAACATTTTTTAGTAGTGCTTTTGTACCTTACGTTTGCACTCCTACTACCTTTAGTAGTGCAGGTAAATAGGCCTTTTTTTTTAAAAAAAATTACTTTCTCTAGATGTCAAAACCAGCCAAACAAGTGAAAAATTTTGGTCAGCCAGTAATTTAAACTTTGCTCAATAACTATTTCAACCAGTTTGGAATGGGCCTCGGTAGGGAGTGAAAGAATCCATACTGACATATTGGAAAGACATTTGAACAAGTGAGTTACCACCCAGGGCTGGAGTAGAGGGTGTGTGTGTCGTGTGTATTATGACCTTGTGTGTTCAGGTGCTCTAGGGCTTTGTGGGTTTTTGTTGTTGTTTGTTTGTTTTGACCGCACTGCGAGGCTTGTGGGATCTTAGTTCCCCGACCAGGGATCGAACCCCGGCCCCTCGAAGTGAGAGCGAGGAGTCCTAACCACTGGACCTCCAGGGAATTCCCTTTAGGGTTTTGTTATGTTACCTTTACACACATGGTGCTCATGTTGATTATTCAGGATGCTGGATGTGGAGGGAAAAAGTTTTATCCTAAATTCCCATTGCTAAGTTTGACGGTGATGAGAATTAATTGGCATTGTAGATAGTGAAAACCTTGGCTATCTTAGCTATCACATTTGTAATACTGCAAAATGTTTCAGGTCTTGAATGGCCAAATTGACATTTTACAATATGGATTCTGGGTTTTTTAACATAAAGTATATTAGTCCGATTTGCTTTGTAGAAGTTCTGTTTTACTTTTTTTTTTTTTAATATTTATTTATTTATCTTTGGCTGCTTTGGGTCTTTGTTGCTGCGTGCGGGCTTTTCTCTAGTTGTGGTGAGTGGGGACTACTCTTCGTTGCGGTGCACGTGCTTCTTACTGTGGTGGCTTCCCTTGTTGCGGAGCACAGGCTCTAGATGTGCGGGCTCAGTAGTTGTGGCTCGCGGGCTCTAGAGCGCATGCTCAGTAGTCGTGGTGCATGGGCTTAGTTGCTCCGCGGCATGTGGGATCTTCCTGGACCAGGCTTCCAACCTGTGTCCCCTGCATTGGCAGGCGGATTCTCAACCACTGCGTCACCAGGGAAGCCCTCTTTTACTTTTAAATCTAACTTTCATGGCGTTATAAACTTGGTAGTTTAACTTGCTGCAACATCCTAGAACAAGGTTTGCTTTAAAAAAAAAAAAAAAAGCTTTTTGCCGTAATCATACCTTTGTAGCAACAGTGGGATATTGAAGCTATTGACACTTTTGTTCTGTTTTCGAATAATAATTAGAACAGTTAAAGATAGCTCCAGGTTTTCAATATTCTCATCTGTTGGCCATCTAAACTAGGTTATTATCAGGTTAATACATTTCAGGATATCCATATTTAATTTTATGAGCACTTTAAGTCATCAGTTTCAACTATAACATGCTTTAAAAATCTTGTTTTTAACTTAAGTTATTCTCCTGTAGCCACATTTTAAAATGTCAGATCTTGAGCTTGCTGTGTCAGAATTTATACATGCTGTGTGCATTTCAAAAGAAACAGAAATGGTTTCTGAGAGCAGTGGAGTAAGGACTAGTAATTCAGGTGTAAAGGTTGACATAGGGCTTGCTTGAGTCTTTTGGGCACTTTGGCATTGGAGAAAACTTAATGTTTTGAACTATCTGATTGTGTTATTATTTATTTCTTTTAAAAGAAAACTGGGACCAAAAATGGTAGTGATGTAACTTTACGGTTGAAAAGTTATGTGCATAGAAGCCAGGAAATTCAGTAATGTTCCCCCAAGCAACTGTAACTCAGACATATTGCGTGAAGTTTTTATGGTTTAATGCATGCTACCATATAGAGTAATAGGAAATACTACATTTAGTAGGTATAAGAAAGAAGAATTATATTTTTTATAGGAGCCATAATTTTGCATATCCAGATTTCAGACGTGTGTAAACTTTCAGTGATCGTGTAGCAATAATGTATATTTGAATTTTGAGATAAATATCCATTGGTGCATCTAGAGATTCCTCTGGATTGTAGAGTTGATAACATTGACTGATTATGGTTATTGGAATGTTCAAAGAGAAATTCTTGGTCTAGGAGCATAAATTACAAGTATCTTTTAAAACTGAAACTTAACTCAGTCTTTCATTCTGTGGTATTTGATAATTAACAGTGAGTAAGAAATGCTCATTTTTGCAATATAATAAATGAAAATCTTGGTTTTAACATGTCTTCTGGAGATGTATTGACAGCTTATCCTTTAGGAATTGACTGGAGAATACTGACTGCTTATCCTTTAGGAATTTTCTTTGGATTATCTTAATTTTTACTGCCAATTAATTACCCTGACTAAAATAACACAGAAATTAAGATGCCATATTCTTTTTTTTTTGAAAAACAATTTTATTGAACTATAATTCACATTCCACACAAATCACTCTTTTAGAATATACAATTCAGTGGTTTTTAGTATTTCGCAGTTATGCAACTATCACCACAATCAATTAAAATGGCGTATTCTTGTTTTTTAGTTTTTTCAAAATTGTATTCTCAATCCTGTTTTACTAGACACCTCCAGGAGTCCCTTAAATTGTTTTTTCAAACATAGCAGTCTTGACCTCAAGTAGATAATGCTTGTCTTAGTGTTCTTTAGGAGTAGCTTAGGGCAGAAGAATGGTGGATTGAGAATTTCCTTGGTGTAAGCTAAATTATCTTTTCTTTTTTTCCAGCCAAATCAAATAGAAAGCTTACTTTTCTGTACTTAGCCAATGATGTCATTCAAAACAGTAAAAGGAAAGGACCTGAATTCACTAGAGAATTTGAATCTGTCCTTGTGGATGCTTTTTCTCACGTTGCCAGGTATGTTTTCGGGTTTTTTGTTACATTTTGTTTTTGAATGCATTACCTTTTCCTTTTTGTTCTTTCTTTTTTGTGTGTGATAGCCTTTGTAACTTGACAACTTCATACTTTAAAGAGAGGTACTTTATAGAGAGTTGCAGAGGCCAAATTGTGGTTCTATATTTTGCCTGAACCCTTGAGAACTATCTCAGACAAGTAAATATTTTGATGCGTTGAAGGGACTCAGTCTAGCACTTGAAGCACATCTTTTCTCCTAGATGTATTCACTATTGAATTCACTTCTTGAATGTGGTACTTTCCTTGGTTTGGCTGAGTTGCCTCATTAGTTTATGGTCAAAAAACAAAGCTAAATAGTACAAGGGAACTTTCCAGTAACAAAGCCTTAATGGCTGTGCCTTTGTTTTTACTTACTTCTGGATGTCTACATGTCTAACTTACTAAAAATAGTAGTCATTACTGTACCTGCAAAGATAGTAATTATTAGTGTGGAAAGTAGATATTTGCTCTGGCTCTGTCATATTAAGTGTGTGCCACTATTGTGTTTTGTGACAGAGGACGGGGGTGGGTAGAGCATACTTATAGCTGATATCACGGAAACTATACATTTAATTAAAAGTTTTACAAATCACTTTTATTTATTTAAAAACAAACTGTTTTTTGTAGATATAAGTTAGTTGCCTAGGAGGAGCAAAGAAAAACTATTTTTCACTAGAATATTAATAGGTAAGCAAATCAAACAAAACATCTTTGCCAAAGGAAACTGGGAAGGGTGAGAAGGAGACTAGTGGGTTAAACGAAAATTGTTCTAAGGTCTAGAGTGTATGTGAAAGACCTTAAGTGTGAAAGTAAGTCTGGCATTCTGTGAAAGATTTGGAAAGTTTGAAGGAGTGAAATGAGAACTCCAAAAGATTTTAAAGAAATGACATCTAGCTTTGTAGAGATGGATAAAAGATTTTTGTTAGTCAACTGGCTTTTTTTTTTTTTTTTTGAACATGGATACTGAAAAAGCAGAATGTTTGGGGACTTGAAAAAATACTGAGTTGTCATAACAGAGAATAAGCTTAGAACAGACTACTAGAGTAGCCCTCTGAAATTGGAGACAGGCATTTTCCTGTTTTGAGGAGAGTCAGTTCAGTTTCCTAGACGTTGGCTGTAGCTCTGCCTCCAACACTGAGTGGCCTTGGATGTGTTGTGTAGCTTTTTGAGCCCACATTTCCATGTTAGTTAAAAGGGAATGTCACCACCTGTCTCATTAGAGTTGTGAGGGTAAAGTAAAACAACAATGCTCAATCCACAGTCTTTGCCCATTCATGGGAGTATACTATATTATAAACTATATGAAGAGAAAGACTGTTTCTTTTTTGTTCTTTCCTGTATTCCAGACACCCAATAGAGTATCTGGCACAGAGCTACTGGGTTTTGTACCTTCGGGAACACCATTTAGATAGTCTTGATGTGAATGGTGGTCTGTCCTGGCACAGAGTAGGGATTCAGTAAGTAGTTGTTGAATGAGTTAATAAATTTAGGGTATAAGAAATTGACTAAAGTAATTCCCTATAGGGATAGTAAACATAACATTTTTCCTTAAAAATTTAACAGTAATCATAAGCTGCTCCCAAATCAGAAAAGTGTAAGTAGAAAAGCGGATGGGAGAGGGGGGATGAGCAATACCAGGATTAAAAATTTTTCTACTTGGTTATCATCTTAAAACCTAGCTAGGAGGCATTGTAAAAATGTCTTGGCAAATTCTGTGGCTTTATGGGGAAAATAGACCTGATCCTTTTAAATAAAAATAGATAGCTCTATTACCTTTCTTTTTTGCATTCTTCTAGTTCTTTTAAGGTCCTGTTCATATATTATATTCAAGGTCCCCATGTCTCTAAGCTCTCTCCCCACCCCCACCCCCATTATTAGAATAGAAAGTCCAGCCACACCACTTCAGTCCTGATGCACCTTATCAACAGTAAAAAGTGCTCTCTGTACAGTTTTTCTGTGGCCAATTGATGAACAAAGATAGTAGACCCATTAATATTGACTAAAATAGATTAGGAATCTCTTTATGATAATTTCCTACCTCCTCCCTCAAACCTCCTACCCCCTAGGAAAGAAACAACAAACCTCTCAAGTCAGAGAAAGCTGCCAAGCTCATGGGGTGGTTTTAATTTGAATAGCAGTTTAAGTAACCAGACTTTAAACTTATTTTCCATACAAATGCCTTCTTGTTTTCTTCTCAGTTGGGAGATAGTTGTGCACTTAATCTTTCCTTCAAGATGTATTTAGGTACCTTTGTGCAAAGTACTGATCCAGACACTAGGGGGGCAAGCAGTGAACAAGGCAGGCAAGGACAAAATGAGTAAGATACTTTCAGAGAGTGATAATATGGACATAATAAAATAGAATGACGTTCTTGAGTGGGATCTCTTCTAGTGTGGTGAAGGAAGGCCTCTCTAAGGAAGTGACATTTGAGGTAATCATGCAAAATAGGAATAGCTATTAAAAAGAACCTAAGGTACAAATAATCTTGGCATGTTAAGAGGATCAGAATGAAGGCCATTGTGGTTAGAACACAAGGAACAGAGGGGAAGTCATATCCAGGTGAGATCAGAGAGGCAGGAAGGTGACAGTCACACATGCCTTGTAAGCCTTGGGAGAGAGTTAGGATTTTGTTCTGATGGGATGTCAGTGAGGAGTTTTAAGCAGGGGAATGATATATTCCAAATGCCTTGTTCAAAGATCCCTCCAGCTTGGGGTGGAGAATGGATTATAAAGGCCAAGGGAGAGGCAGGGACATGAGGTAGAGGGTGTTGCTCTAGTGTAGGCTAGAGATGACATTGGCTAGGATTCAGGAACATTGAGGAGATAATAGCTTCCACTTGTTGAATGTTTACTTTGTTTACTTCATGGGTAGATTTGTGCCCCACCCCCATGTAAAACTGATAGGATTAGTGGGAGCTTGGTAGTGAGGGAAAAGAGAAATCAAAGATTATTTCTAGGTTTTTGACGTGAATATGTGGATGGCTGATGGTGCCGTTTACCGAGGTGGAGTTTGAGGTAAAGATATGGTAGAGGAAATCAAGAGTTTTGTTTTGGCCATGTTAAGTTTGAGATGGCTAATAGATATTCCAAAGGGTGATGCCATATAGGCGGATGGATGAAACAGTCTTGAAGCTCAGTAGGAAATTGATTTCTGGAGACATAAATTTGGAATTATCACCATATACATATTTATTTCCTGTTATAACAGTCGTGGGCCCCCAAGACCACTTCCAGGTCCGGTGACTTGCTAGGAGGACTCACAGGACTTGGGTATAGTCGTGTTCCTGGCTATGATTTATTACAGTGAAAGGATATAAAGCAAAATTAGCAGAAGGGAAAAGGTGCAAGGGATGAAGTCCAGAGGAGACGAGGCATAAGCTTCCAAGAGTCCTTTCATAGTGGAGTCACATAAGACATACTTAATTCCTCCCCCTTTGAACTGTGGCAACAAATGTGAAGTGTTTTCTACCTGAGAAGCCCATTAGAGATGTAGTACCTAGGGATTTTGTTAGGGTTGGTCACAGGCACTCTGCCAAAATTCTAGGCTCCCAGAAGGAAAGCAGGTGTTCAGCATAAACCATACTGTTTGTATAAACAGTTTAAGCACAGTAAACCACCCTTACCAGTTAGGAAATGATAGGAGCACTTCTGAAATCCAGGTTCCGAGATGCCAGTCAAGGGCCAACCTCGTGAGCAGGCCTGCTAAGGGCAGCAGTCTCAGGCCTGCTATGTTAACTCTTTCCCACACAATTGCAAAGGACTGTTTCTGCTCTACCTTTACATGAGGTGCTGTTGGAAGTGCTGAGGATACTTAGAAAGAATTTATGCCCTGAGTAGGCCTGCCATAGGCCTACTGTGCATGGGATAAGAGAGAAGTACACAAATTATAGCGGGTGTACCAAGGCAGTGCCATTAGAGCTGCAGAGGAAGAAAAGGCCCCCATGCTGGCTTGGCAAGCCCTTTGGTATCCAGCTGGCACTTCAAGCAGTAGTCCTACGTGTGTATAACACATACTTTTCACTTTTTAGATCACATTTTCGGTGGTTGAATTTATAAATATTTAGAATTAAGATACTAAGTTGTGTTCTGCAAAATAAGTTACATATGTACTTATTTATCATCTTCCAGTTTATTCATTGATAAGTGGCAAAGATTTTTTGTGTTTTTTCACTTAAAGATTTCTCAAGTTAGAATGGAGTTAATACAACTTGAAAAGATAGCTCCTTGTGTCATAAAATGACTTTTTTGCTTTGGTTGTATCCAATTTCAGGTGCTAAAGTGACTTCCACTTCATTGGAGCTACTTAGGGCAAAACCACATCAGTAAAAAGATTTCTTGACTGTTGTGTCTGTATCTTTAGACCTTAGTTGGCAAAACTTTGATTTACTGTAGTGCTCAAAGAATTAACCTATCATGGTTAATTATGTTCACTAATTAAAGTAGAGCACCCTTTTGGCTGTAGCGTTTAGTGGTGAAAGCCTTTTGAAAATCTTTTGGTTACAACAGGTTTGAGCATCATTATCCACTATACAGTAGTGTGACTGCAGCTGATTAAGACTATCAGTCTTAATCAAGCCCCAAATAGCCCCAGGAATGGTGGATGGTGGTTGGATGGGTATTGTGCCCCTCCCAACCCTTTTAACTAAATCCTTGATAAGAATTTGTTTTCATGATTAGTTTCTCTTTTAAGAGAATTTGCAGAGAACAGATTTTATGTTAAAAGTACCGACCAGTTAAGTTCTGATTAGTTGTGATTTTGTTACAGTAGTTATAATGACTTTATTTTTCTAAAGCCTGCATTTCATCACATTAGGGACTTCCCATTGCCTTCAGGATAAAGGCCACATGTTTAGTATGGAATTTAAGGTCCTCTATAATCTAATTCCACTGTATCCCTCCAGATTCTTCTGCTGTTTCCACCCCCCCACCCCACCCCATATAGTACTTCAGCCACCAGAATTACTCAGAACCTTTTGCTCTTCACCTTGTTCTGTTTTGGGGATTCCATTCAAGCGAGAGGAGAAAGCATGAGCATAGGCACACGTAACAGTGGCAGCAAGTGCTGAGTAGAAAATACTTACCGTTGAGTGTTGCTAGAACATGAAGCCTCAGGTAGGGTGTGGAGAGGTGAGGGGCTGCTGGGTCAAGAATCTAGAGGTCAGGACCTAGGCCTTGTTCTTTGTATTCCAAGCACAGTATTTCAGAAACCTTAATGCGCAGATGAATGCTTAATTGATGTCTGACATGAATGACCTTGATGTGGTAAAATGGTCGTTGAAAGTTAACTAATTGTATGGCCTACTGAAACCTTTCTAACATTTTTCGGAAAAAACATTGCAATTAAATATTTACTGTGCTTGTTCTGGGGCATATAGCAGTGGGGGAAAAAGACAAATCCCTGCCCTTGTGGAAATCCCATTCAAATGGAAAGAGAGTATAAACAACAGGGAAACCATATATATAGCACATCAGAAGATAAATTGTGTGGAGAAAAATTAAGTAGGAGTAGGGAGTGTAATTTTAAGTCGGGAGATGAGAGGATTCACTGAAAAGGTGCTGTGTGAGTATACGCACCTGAAGGAGGAGAGCAAAGGAGCCTTGCCTGGCCTGAGCCTTGGTTCCAAGCTAAGTGCAAAGGTCCTACACTTTAATGGCAGGAGGGCCGGGGAGCTGTTGAGGAGGGAGGGGAGAGTGAGGATAGGTGAGGTCAGAGAAATAATGGGCTGGGCTGAGAAGGGCTTTGTTGTAGGCTTCATTAGGACTTTCACTTTTATTCTGAGGGAGACCAGGAAGAACCATTGGAAGTTTTTAGCAAAGGAGCAACATGATCTACTTTAACACAACAGTTAGGATTGGATTTTTAAAACTTGAGAATAGATGGTTGGAGGACAGGGTGGAAGCAGGGAGACTAGTAATGAGGCTGTTGCAGTAATCAGACAAGAGATGATAGTGGCTTGGATCAGGCTGAGAGCAGAGAAAGAGGTGAGAAGTAATTTGTTTCTAGATATATTTTGAAGATGGAGTAGAGATGTTTTTATTGTAAATATCAAGGTCATATCTTTAAGTTTTATAAATATCAGTGGAAATATTTTCCCCCTTTTCCCCCTCACCCTGACCTCTGACTTAAAAAAAAAAAGCTTTACCAATAATTAATAATTAGTTTGTATGTATCCTGATTTAGTTAGTACTTTAACCCCCAATTTAGTGAAATTTGCCGCTAATAATTCATAAGTAATATAATCTGACCAGCTTAGGCCGAAAACTCATCTCATCTTGAGTGTTAATATAAGTTTTAGAAAAGTGCTGTTAGGGCTGGGGGTGGGTGAAATTCCATCTGAGTTGAATTTTATATGGTTTCTTCTTGAGGTTCCTACTAAAGATATTGACTTAGATACTAAGATGTCAGGGTAACCCTTCTTGTTTATAGTTCCTCAGTGTAAGGTCATTGACATCTAGACAGTCTCACAGAACAGAACAATTCATAGTAACACAGTACATGGTGAGGGAATTTGTTTTCCTTTTGGAAAGTCTTCCGCATGCTTCCACTTGCCGTCTGACACTTTATGGTAAACAACTGCTTCACCCTGAGTGCGAGTTATGGTCATCTCACTGAAAAATAAGAGAGTGATATGTTTTAAGAGAGTAATACGTCAGGAAAAAAAATAGCTTCTTTCATTCAGATATAAATTACAAAGGACTGTACTATGCTCGGTGTGTTCTAAGATTATCTGCTAGACATCTTTGTGTGAATCTGGAATACAGACCTAGCCTGGAATTAAAATAATTATGAAGTAGTTTAAAGTTGAGAGTCTTGACATGTATGTGTGTATGATTGTATTTATACATATTAGAGGTGTTGGTGTGTTAGCATTGATGAGTTATTATGAATTTCTTCCCCACTTTAAACATTTGGTTTTAATCATTGTTTTCCTGTCCTTAAACATTTTGGCCTGCTTTAATTTCCAGCAGCATATCTGGCACTAGATTTCAGTTAATGCCTTGTGAAAAGCAAGCCGTCACAATTGATATGATTGATTTTTGATAATTCTCTGTCAGTAAATATCAGCCTTTGGCTTTTTGCCCTATTTACCCCCATCTTTCAAAGAGGATAAAAGACACAGATTAATTCTGTAACATAATCCCTCTCTCTTCCCTACACACCACAGGAAGAATGTAGTTTCTGGTCAAGTTTTGAATATCCATTAAGTACAGTATGTACCTTACTCTTCCTTCTGTTTTTAAATATGTAAATCATTTAGTCAGTTGTTGGTTGTTTTTTTTTTTTTTTTTAAAGTAAATCTGTCCTAATTAAAAGCAAAAAATCTTAAGCTTATATATATCTTTTCGTCTTTTCTGGGCAGAGAGGCAGATGAAGGCTGTAAAAAACCTTTAGAAAGATTGCTGAACATCTGGCAAGAAAGAAGTGTGTATGGCGGCGAGTTCATACAGCAGCTGAAGCTGTCTATGGAGGACTCCAAGAGCCCTCCCCCCAAAGGTAGAAACATCACCACATGTTTACAGCTCTTGGTCTTTGCCTACTTTCGAATCACATATGAAAAGCTGCAGTGGGGGTTGCTGTGAACCACCAGCGATTATATGATTCTTCAGAGAGAGATGATCATAAACGATGGTGAGAATTTATGTAGTGCTTGCAGTGTGTAAGCCTGGTTCTAGTATTCATGCTATTCATCATCTCATATCCTACCTTTTGATCTGTATTCTCCTTGGCACGCTTATGCCTTTCAGAGACTTTCCTTGCACAAGGGAAAGGAACAACAAAATTGTTCAGAGTTATAGCGAACTAGGAAGTACCCTGGGCTAGGATTTTGTCCGAGCCTTGCCGCTAACTGTTATAGGATCTTGGATAAGTCCTTCAGCCCTTATGGAACTTGGTTTCATTAAATATTGATGTGGTTTGGGGACATACTTTTGATGGTTGTCAGCTGCTGTCTAAAATTGGTTTTGGTCCTTATTGAACCCAGAATATTCTGAGGTATTGTGTTCATGTATGTGTGTGAATTTTACCAAGTCCTTCTTAAAAGCTATGTTATTTTTTTCTTTTAAAGAGGAGTAAGATCAAACGTTATTTGATTCTTTGGCTTCCAGTTAGTTGTGGCTTAATTCTAGCTGGCATGACATGTTTCTAAGCTACAGATCTGATCTGACTGTACACATGCTCATTGCCTGGAAGATCAAGTCCAAATACTAACATAGTATTTAGGACCCTTTATAATGTGAACTACTCTACTTTTCCAGATTCTTCTCCCATTTTCTCACATATACCATATTCTTTGGCCATACCTAGCAATTTCCCCTCTGGATGCTCTGTTGGTACCCCTTCCTTTGCATCTGCTGTTACCTCTGCCTAAAATGTCCTTCTGCCCCTTTTGTGTGGTGAACTTATTCTTTAAGAATGCTACTCACATTCTGACATCTTTGCTAGCTTGTCTGGGCACATGTAACCAATTTCCTCCATCTTCCTCTGGGACTTTGTACATGCCTCTGCAATAGAACTTAACCACAATTAGCATATGTGATAATATCATTCATTCAGCAACTCTTTTTTTTTTTTTTTTTTTTTTTCCAGCAACTCTTTTTATTGTATACCTTTCATGATCTCTTCCAGGTCTGAGTTTATATGCGTTTTAAGGTGGAGTAACTTTCCTGTGAAACTAGAGGTTAGAGGCTTTCTAAGAATGACATAAGTGCTTTCAGTCTGCAGGTCATTGCTGTTTTACTTGGAATTGATAGAAAACAATTTTGGGATTGGATTGGATTCTGGCAGTGTTCGTGTTGTGTCCTTTGGAAGTATTCTACACAGTGTTGGGGAATTATCCAGCATTCTTTTCTCTCCTCTGACTTGAAGTCCATTGGTAAACAGTGCTGATTTTTTAAAAACACCTTTGGGCAAGTAGGAGAGCTCTGAAAGATGATGTTTGAAGCTAAGTGTTGAATTTCAATTAAACAAGCATTTGCCAAACATATGCTTTGAGTAAACAGCCATGCTAGACAGTATAGGAAAGAGCAAGAGAGGAGTGAGAAATAGTTTTGCCCTCAGGGAGCAGTCAGACAAATTGGGGAATTTGTGGCAGTGCTAGATTTGAAAATAGCTCCATTGGGTTTCTGATTTTTTTTTTTTTGAGTGTCTAGACATTAACAGCAATAGAGGCAGTATTCCTCTTATGTAGAGGATAATGCTGATATAAAGATAATTTCTCTTTCTCTAGTTTGTAAAGATGAAAACACATATCAAAAGGTTCCAATGTGTTTGTCTCAACTAACTCACTCTGTCTTCTCACTGTCTTTTTTGGACCTGAGTTATCAGAATATTTTACACAATCCTTTCAAAATATTGATGAGTTTTCCAGAAGCTTATTTCCAAATTTAAATAGTCCTTTTATATTACAACCTTAATTCAAGGCTAATTCTTTGTCTTCAGACAACTTTACAGAGTTTACTTTTGGAATAAAAAATTTCCTGTGGAGCTGACATTTCTAATGTTGGAGAATGTGTGAGTTTAGGAATTTTGTTTTAGAACTGGAGTTTTCTTGAGTTTGTGTACCTGTAATTTAACATCTGTGGGGTTTTTTCTTTGTTTTTTCAATCCCAGGTACAAGACCCAGTGATTCTAAAGTTGTCTCTGTATTCTTGGGAATACTCATGCTGTTGCTTGACTGAGTGGAACTTCATTATTTACTTCAGTCCCACGTAAATCACACGATATCCTATAGTTGCAGGCTTTAGAAAGGAAAGGTAGATACAAAGGAAATAGCATTTATTGAGCACCTATTCAGCACCAGCCCCTCTGCTGGCTGCTTTTCATGTTAATTTATTTTAGATCCTTACAACTACTCTATGTACTAGGTATTATTTTCGTATTTCAGATGAAGATATTAAGACTCGCAAGGGTACAGTAATTTTGTCCAAGTAGATATAATTGATAAGTAGAGAATTCAAACCCAGGTCTATATAACTTAAAAGCCTATGTTCTTCACACCATAATTTTTCCTTGAAAGCACATGGATTCAGTAGACTTGAATGAGGGTATGAATTCATGAGTATGTCACACAACTTTCCTGGACCTTAGTATAGTTAGTTTAGCTATTCAGAGCAACGGTTTGAAATCAGACTTCCAGAGTATGAATCCCAGCTCTGTCATTTCCAAGCTGTGTGACCTTGGGCATGGCATTTGACCTCTCTGAGCCTCAGGTTCTCACTGTACAGTATGGCTATTATTATGGCTAGTAATAATACCTCATAGGGTTGTGTGAGGATTACTTGAGATAATGAAGGTAAGATGTTATTAATGTGATCATATGACTTCTATTTGGTACCCCCTCCCAGTTCTAATATCTAATATTCTGAGTTTCTAAATACAAACCAATAGCAAAAGTAGGAGGAGTCATGTTAGTATGTTCAGTCCCCCAGATTTTGTGCAAGGCTGGCGAGCGTGGTGGTTAAGAGCACAAGCTCTAGGCTCAGCTTACCAGGTTCAGGTCTGGACCTGGCCATTCAGTTCAGTGAGATGATATGGGTAGAGTGCTTTCAGAACTGTGCCTCAAGTGTCAGCCCTTTGTTGCATATCTTTTTCTCTCTACAAGTAAAGGTAAATGTGCTTTTTAAAGAAAACTCCCTTATTTTGCAGGGAGGGGACAAAGAATGAGGGAGCTCTTGGAAACAGTATTTCCTGATTCTTTTTTCATTATAAAAGTAATATAGAAATGGAAATAAAAACAAAAGTAAACAAATGGGACCTAATGAAACTTAAAAGCTTTTGCACAGCAAAGGAAAACATAAACAAGATGAAAAGACAACCTCAGAATGGGAGAAAATATTTGCAAATGAAGCAACTGATAAAAGGATTAATCTCCAAAATTTACAAGCAGCTCAATATCAAAAAAACAAACAACCCAATCCAAAAATGGGCAGAAGACCTAAACAGACATTTCTCCAAAGAAGATATACAGATTGCCAACAAACACATGAAAAGATGCTCAACATCACTAATCATTAGAGAAATGCAAATCAAAACTACAATGCGGTATCACCTCACACCGGTCAGAATGGCCATCATCAAAAAATCTACAAACAATAAATGCTGGAGAGGGTGTGGAGAAAAGGGAACCCTCTTGCACTGTTGGTGGGAATGTAAATTGATACAGCCACTATGGAGAACAGTGTGGAGGTTCCTTAAAAAACTAAAAATAGAACTACCATATGATCCAGCAATCCCACTGCTGGGCATATACCCTGAGAAAACCATAATTCAAAAAGAGTCATGTACCACAATGTTCCTTGCAGCTCTGTTGACAATAGCCAGGACATGGAAGCACCTAAGTGTCCATCAACAGATGAATGGATAAAAGAAGATGTGGCACATATATACAATGGAATATTACTCAGCCATAAAAAGAAATGAAACTGAGTTGTTGTTGTTTTTTTTAAGATTTTCTTTTTTTTTTTTTTAAATTAATTAATTTATTTTTGACTGTGTTGTGTCTTCGTTTCTGTGCTAAGGCTTTCTCTAGCTGCAGCAAGCAGGGGCCACTCTTCATCGTGGTGCGCGGGCCTCTCACTGTCTCGGCCTCTCTTGTTGCAGAGCACAGGCTCCAGACGCGCAGGCTCAGTAATTGTGGCTCACGGGCCTAGTTTCTCTGCGGCATGTGGGGTCTTCCCAGACCAGGGCTCGAACCCGTGTCCCCTGCATTGGCAGGCAGACTCTCAACCACTGCGCCACTAGGGAAGCCCGAAACTGAGTTATTTGTAGTGAGGTGGATGGACCTAGAGACTTATACAGAGTGAAATAAGTCAGGAGGAGAAAAACAAATACCGCATGCTAACACATATATATGGAATCTTAAAAAAAAAAAAGTTTTTGAAGAACCTAGGGGCAGGACAGGAATAAAGACGCAGACATAGAGAATGGACTTGAGGACACAGGGAAGGGGGAGGGTAAGCTAGGACGAAGTGAGAGAGTGGCGTGGACTTATATATACTACCAAATGTAAAATAGATAGCTAGTGGGAAGCAGCTGCACAGCACAGGGAGATCAGCTCGGTGCTTTGTGACCACCTAGAGGGGTGGGATAAGGAGGGTGGGAGGGAGAAACAAGAGGGAGGGGATATGGGGATATATGTATATGTATGGCTGATTCATTTTGTTATAAAGCAGAAACTAACACACCATTGTAAAGCAATTATACTCCAATAAAGATGTTATTAAAAAAATAATATAAAATCTGTGGGGGGAGTTTCCTTATTTTCTTTTTTCAATCCTAGAAATTTCAAGTGGATTATTTAGAAGATCCAGCTTTACGGGTAGATGACTGTATTTTGTAATGTGATTTGGGATCCTTCAGGCTAACATTTTGCCTTAAAATTAGTTTCACAGTCTGCCATAGTGTCTGAAATTCTATCACAGGTCTCTAAGAGGCATACCATAAACCCTTAGGTAACCAGATTACTTGAAGGTTAGCTAGTACAAGGCCCAGTGAAGACACAGGGATGTGTTGAAGGATAGAACAGAAGGTGTGCAATAAGGACAGAAGGTTTTCGGTCCCTGTAGTGTTTGCCCTGCCTATAAACAGAGTGATTGAGGAAGTGAAAAAAGGAGTGAGTGTAACACCTGTGGTCAGAGCCGAATTGATAGTGGAAGGTACCTGATGTGAAGTTCAGACACAGGAACAGGACTGGCAGATTTCCCGGGTCATTTTAATGGTTGTCCGACTTGATTGAGAATTCTGGGCCTTCTCGCTGCTAATTCTGTACACATGAGCAGGGGAGAGTCTGGTTTGTGTAAAGGGAAGCAGGGATAGTCATTTCCGGCACAGCACTAGGACCTTGCAGTCGCTATGCTTCCTCTGCCTTCAAGAAGTTTCAGACTCAGGTGTGTTGACACTTTCCTGGGTATAATAGCGATGTAAAGGAATAAGACACTTGCTGTTTCGATCAGAGAGGTAAGGCCTGTGACTGCCAGTTGCCACGAAAGTGGCAAGGGCCCAGCGCTTTCAAAGAGAGGCCCCGATGCTGTGGGGGCTGGAGGGAGAGGATGACAGTCTGAAGGGAGTGCTCAATGTGGTTCTGCCGTTACCATCACCAAGGAGACTTTGAACTTAGGTGGCCTTTTCAGGGTTTTGAGTAGAGGCATGATGGGGTGAGAGCTCAGCTCTAGGAAGATGGTGTAGTCTAAGTTGCAAGAGTGACTAGAAGAGGCAGAGAGCCCAGATAGGACAGCGGTCTGGACAAGGCTTGCGAAAGGACAGGTGGCTGATAAGAGGCTTTGGGAAGGAGCAGAAAGAGGATGTAAGGAAGAATTCCTCACAATTGTGGAATCTGCCAGAAGTTGGGACTTTGGGAAAGATTCCACTGTTCTCCAAGGCATTGTACCTGGAAGATGGGGCCAGTGGCAGTGTTCGCAATGGTAGTAGTTAGCTCAGGAAAGGAGCCTTGTGGGGGAAATGATGAATAATTTATTTCCAGTAGGTCCTCTAGTGGAGATACGAGAGAACTGGAAAAGTAGGATGATAACGGTTACCTCCTGTTACACCCTCTTCCATCAGGATGGCGAAGGACAGAAATGGCCCTAAAATTGTCATCAGTTTGATTTTGGTTTTGCATTGCTAGAAGTGAGTGGCAGCATGAAGTGGTAAAAAGAACTCCAGATTAGGAGACAGAAGCTTTTTGCTGTAGGACCCAGACTTAGACTAATGAGCTCTCTGGCTTTGGACACACCACAGCCGGTGGGCCTTGATATTCTCATGAAAAATGAGGTGGGGAGCAGTGGGGAAAGCAAATACATAGGTCTGCCTAAGGCCTTCCAGTGCCAAAATTCAGTGATTCTGAGTGTCCTGAGATGTTCAGTGATGTGTGGTTTTTATATATAATAATTTCTGGATGAGAGTTGGAAAACTGAAGGATTCAAGTTTTATATTTTTTTCTACCTTCTTTAGTGTTTAACAATTATTTATTGAGCATTCTTCTAGGTGTTTGGAAGTGAACAGAACAATACTGTAAATTTTTTTTTTTTGCTCTTATGCTTACATTCTCTAGTGGCTACTCATCAAACATGGCCACTTTGATGCTGTAATGGCTAAATGTTTACACAAGTCATACCACACACTACACATTAATTAGGCAGCCACTGTGTGCAAAGTACTGTTAGATATTTCATATGCAGATTATATCCCTATAGATTTTCTGTTTGAAAAATAACAGCCATCCTTGCTTTGCATAGGAGTGCAGGACTGTAAAAATGACCATTCAAGCTGAAACCGTACAGAGTGATCTTAATAATCAATGGGAAAAATTACAATTATTCTGTGACTTAAAATTTTTTATCGAAGAATTAAAAACTCACTGTTGATTACAATTGTATAGGAAAACAAAAAAATAGTAAAATTAAGACTTATTTAGCACGCTGTAACATAAATTAGAAACACTGTGAGTTAAAGTGTTTATTTCTCTGTAACAAACTTACTAAGAGCGGTTTGAACAAAGCTTGTTGCATCTTTTCCATCTTTGTCATACTCCTTCCTAAATGTGGATCAGCTTCCAACATTCTATCCTTTGTGCTTTCAGTGTTGTGAAGTGTATCAGAGTTCCTTTAAAGTGAAGTTTTTTGTCAGCATCACTTCCTCTGGGACATTGTCATCCTTTTCATCACAGCCACATTCTTCAGTTATGTTGATGAGTTGACCTTCACTAAATTCCTCTGGCTGCGAATCCAGCGTCTCCAGAAGAGCACGGCAGTGCCGGCATCCCCACAGCCAGCTGTTTCTTCTACAGCCCCATTTGTGTTCCACGCAAACTTCATTTCCAGCGTTAACTTTCGTCTTAGTTTCTTTGCTGCTCTTTCATCTTTGTCAGTCAGTTCCCTGTTTTGATTATTTATTTTTATAAAATGTCACGTGGATTTTGTCACTGGGAGACTAACAACACAACTAAACACTTTGTTGTCTGTGTGTGAACTGAATAACGGAGGTGCAGTAACCAATTACTGACCTTGGGAGAAGTGATGCAGTCACTAATCATGATGCATTTCTATTATTTATGTGATGATTTGTGGACTAAAGTTAGCAGCGAGGGTTTGTTGTTTATGCAATTACACAGAGTAAATATGCCATGGTAACTGAAATTTGAACTCTGTTGTTGGGGGAATAGTGTCATTTAACCAAACTGTGGTAATAAATCTGTGCATAATAGAACAGTGCAAAGACAGGACTGCCGGTAATGCAAATGCTGCTGTTTCTCTTCGTTAGTAGAACAAACAAAAACATTAAGAAAAAATAAAATCCACAATATTGACTTGACTTTCACGTCAAACATAGCCTGGTCAGTTAATATGTAAGGTAGAGAACAGGAACTACATCCTGGGTTCCAGAAGAAAATGTTGAATCAAGCAGGAAGTGTACATGATTCTGTTTATATCTCACAGAGTTCTGAGGCAGGTGCATGGTGACCCTCATTTGACAGATGAGGTGGAAATTGTGTGATGCTAAGTAAGTTGAATTCAGTGGAAAGAGCGCAGGTTTTGAAATCATACCATTACATGAGTTATTTAGCCTCTCTGGGTCTTCATTTTCTCATCTCTAAAGTGGAGATACTATTGTACATCTTAGAATTGTTGGAGGGATCAAATGTAAAGAAGCTATTGCAGTGCCTGGCACATGTTAGGCATCCAATAGTTTCTTTACTTTCCAAACCTGAATTTCTCATTTAGATTTATGTCCCTCAGTTGTTTGGCATTTATTTTGTATTGTCCAATTTAATGCAAAAGGAATGATTTTGGAGTTAACACATCTGTCGTAACAATTTAAAAGCACGTGGTACGGATAATAAAAAAATGTAACCTGCTAGCCTCAGAAGTGGTTAATTTTAAAATGGTGACTTATGTAATTTCTCTCAGTAATATGTCATAATGCTCAGGAATGGTTATTTTAAATTTTAAGGTATAACTAGGTTTGTTTTGTTCTTAAAGGGATAGTTTAAAGGATGTTTGTTTTTAGAGCTTTTGACACAATTTTATTGCTGGGTCTCTCTCTACTACTTATTTTCTGAAGTGACCCTGGAAAGCGTAAAGTATCTCATTTTGTACACGGTATATTCCCTACAGACCCTTGCACACAACAGCTTGCTTCATTACACGTTACATTTTCTGATGAGGTTTCTTACCTTTTTACTTCTCCTATTAACTTTTTTTTTTTTAAGATAATGACGTTTTTAATGAAATGTGTTAGTTTGGTAAATTTCACTTTTAGATGCTTTTTTTCAGTAGTATTTTTCCAGTGAGTCAATCTGAGATGACAGACTCAGGCCATTTTGACTCTTTTCAGTAATGTAGAGAATGACCACCAATTGAAAATAAGTGGCTTAAAGGTTAATGTTAAGCCATCTCTGGAAGTGTACACCCCTTCTACCCTTTCTTACTTGCAACCCATTGTGCATAGCATTTGACTCTTACCTGTACAGGCTGTGGTGATGCAAATTTGTCACTTTTTTCTTTCCTCTAGCAACAGAGGAGAAGAAATCTCTAAAGCGAACTTTTCAGCAAATACAAGAGGAGGAGGATGACGACTACCCTGGAAGCTACTCTCCCCAAGATCCTTCTGCAGGACCCCTCTTGGTATGTCTTGACCCCCAGAGAGTAGGGCAGAGTGGCTTGAAGTGACCTCTAGTTGAAGATTCTGGCCACAGGGTGGCGCCAGTGACCAATAGTATGGAATCACCAGAGGGCAGCTCTTGGCACTGGGTGCAAGATCCACCTAATGAAACTTGCCAGACGGCAGGCTTGATTTTGTCTCTGCACGCCCTGAATCTGGGATGGACTTGTAAGAGTACTTGGATTTGGGTTTTTTCACTCCTAGAAATTGAAACTATTCTTTAAAAAAATAGACTTTTGTAAAGGGGTAATGTTACAAAGGCATTCAAAAGTCCTCTACCATCGCTTGTCTCCAATAGCATGGCTGTTTCTTATAAGTAAACAACATATTAGTTTCTAAGGACAGTCTGTGTAGCAGTAGCAAATTTACTACACTATAACCTATTTAAATATTAAAACAGGGAGCTAGCACTTATTGAGTTTTTAGCCGTGTATCTGCATTGTTTGACCCTTTGTGTAAGTTAGTTCATGAACTCTGTGTGGTTGGTTTTAGCTGTTTGTTTATGTAGTTATTCATTTACAGTCAAAGGAAGTGAGGCTCAAGGAGACAGATTAAGTAACTTGCCCAGTGTTCTAATTGAATCTGGGTCTGACTGACTGCAGAGCCCATGCTCTTTTCACTGAGTTGCACTGCCTCTCATTTTGCCTAAAACAGCTTTATTTTATTACACGTGGGAGTGTTTAAGGCTTGTGTAAATAGGAAGCATGTCTGATCTGTGTTACGTTAAAATGTTGAATTAGTCCGGGGGGTCAAATGAAAGCAGTGTTAGGCCATATATCTTTGCATTTAAAAACTTTCAAGAGAACAGCCTGAATTACCAACTTTCAGGATAACCTGACTACCATCTACATGGTAGCCTTAGGGTCATTATGGACTAGCTAACCTGTCAGCACCGTGTGTTTCCTGACAATTAAAAAAAACCCTTTCTGGTATTTACAGAAGATGCATTCTTGGTTTGCTCTTCTTGCTTTTCTTCCCTCTTTGTTTGTAACTAATGAGCTTGACACAGTTAATTTTGGGAGTGACTGCCCAAATCAAAAATGTCATCTTTGTGATATTCATTTTGTAGTGCAAATTCAAGAAAGAATTGAAGTTGGTAGTGTCATTTCATTTAATCAGTCAACACACAAATTGCTAAGCATTTGACATGTATACTTTTATTCTAAACTGGAGGCCATTCTGTACCAGCGATCATGCATCCTTTGAAACTAAACAGTATGAACCAGACTCCATTTTCTTAAGTTGCCAAAAACATGTTCTTTAAAAAAATTCTTTTTCACAGTTATGTAGAATTTCTTTTGTGTTCTACCATGGACTTAGAAAAATTATGTACATTCTCTTAGAATTTGTATCATTGACTTCAGTATACACTCTGGGATAAGAGCAATGATTTTTTTTTTTTTTTTTTTTTTTTTTTTTTTGTTGGGGGGTCTCTCACTTTTGTGGCCTCTCCCGTTGTGGAGCACAGGCTCCGGACGCGCAGGCTCAGCGGCCATGGCTCACGGGCCCAGCCGCCCCACGGCATGTGGGATCTTCCCGGACCGGGACACGAACCCGTGTCCCCTGCATCGGCAGGCGGACTCTCAACCACTGCGCCACCAGGGAAGCCCAGAGCAATGATTTTTTTAAACGTCAGGGATGATCATATTTAGAATTTGCCTCCACCTTGTTTAACTCCAGCTAAGTTTCTTTACACCCCATATCCCCATATGTCTTAATGGATAGTGTTGTTTGTGTTTTCATTGTACAGACTGAGGAACTAATCAAAGCTTTGCAGGACCTGGAAAATGCTGCATCAGGGGATGCTACTGTCCGACAGAAAATTGCTTCTTTACCCCAGGAAGTGCAAGATGTTTCTCTTTTGGAAAAAATAACAGGTGAGAAGGTAGTTTGGGTGAAAGATGAGAGGAGAGAGACATATCTCCAATGCATCAAACCCCAGGACATGCTTATGTCTGCAAATACAGACCTTCCACATGGTGTTGGGTTCTCTGTCATCTTGGGATTTGCAAACATAACTCACATGCTGAACAAAGAAGCTGCTGGAATAGTCCGAGCTTGAATAGTGACTCTAGGAATTATTTCAGAAATGCTAGCATGCCACAGCCTGTGGTACTCAGTACAAGTAAGGTCTTTTGAAACCACAGTGCAAATTATGTGTGCGGGGGGCAGTCGGGGGGAAGGCATTAAACTCATGACCCTTTCCAAAAAAAAAAAATTGTGATTCAGTGCTGTGACTTCTACATTGTCCACTGACATACCCCATAGGTGATAGTGCCTTCAGTGCCAAGAACTCCAGGTTTGTATTGTTAGTCATGTCATTTTGCCCTCTTGATGATCACCCCCAATTAAACAGGGAGGGGCAGTTGGCATTCTTCCCGCTTTATGCGTGGGCTGTTGAGAGGAAGGAGTGAAGTGCGAACTCTACATGTAGAGTATGCTCTGCGCCAGGTGCTTCTGCCAGCCTAGGCTGCAGAGCCTGTGTTCTTCCCGTTACAAAAGCTCGGACCTTTTGTTCCACTCTCGTCCGAGGGCCACCATTTTCTCCTTCCAGTCCCTTACCTTGGCTGCTTCACTCACTTCCTCCATATCCATTTAAAGGAAATCAAGGTTACTCATGAAATACTCCTTCACTCAACAGTCATTTGAGGCACCCCATGTGGCATCTGCTCTAGGGGCTGCACCCACATCCCATCACAGGTTAAGTGCCCCAAAGGAAAGGAAAGCCAGAGGTGTGGGGGTGGAGGCGGAGCCCTGATGAGATGGGCTTTGATCAGAGCCCCCCCCCCCCCCCCCCCCGGCCCCAGCCCCATGAAGAAGCAAGCTGTGAGGAGACCTAAGGGAAGGCAGTGCCCCCCAGGTGGAGGGAGCGGTACCCGGCAAGACCTTCAGGCAGGAGTGTGCTTAGTTGGAGAAGACAACACGGAGGCCTCTTGGGCTTGCTCTCTCTACTGCCACCATCCCTCACCCCAACAATTAAACCCACTGGATTTAACAGCCTGTCGATGCCACAGTCTGTCAATCTTTCCACCTTTTCCCAGCCTTTACTCCCCTTATGGCCTCGTTTTCTTCATTACTCAGCTTGGAGTTGTTACACTTAGAGTCTTTATAATCACTCTCTCACACACACCCTCAGTCCCCTTTGCTCTTTTTTCCCTTCACTCTAGTCTCGTGGCAAAAACCCAACTTTTCTCCTGGTTAAATCCAACTTTGTTGTTGTTATAAGGACCACCTCATTTATTCTTACTGTCAGAATCACAATCTGCAAAATTGGAAGCAAATTAATATAAAACTAGCAGTGTATATAATTTCATTTGTTTTCACTGACTTAAAGGATTTATATGGCTTTTAAAAATTATTTATTTATTTTGATTTTTAATTATGGTGAAATACATCTAACAAAATTCACCGTCTTAACCATTCTTAAGTGTGCCACTCAGAAGTGTTAAGTACATTCACGTTGTGCAACCAATTTCAAGAACTCTCTTCATCTTGCAGAACTGAAGCTCTATACCATTAAATAACAACTCATTTCCCCCACCCCAGCTCCTGGCGGTCACCGTTCACAACTGAATGTGGCTGGGCAAAACAAATAAACACTGGCTCACTTCTCTTCCTATTTCTGTGGATGAGCATGCTGTTTTCTAAAGCAGCCCCTCTGCCTGTTAGACCTATTCCTTCTCACCTACTCAAGAACACTGCTCCAACAATTCTCCCCTTTTCTCCTGCATCTCCAGTTTTTTTTTCCCCTTTACTGGATCATTCTCCATAGCATAAAAACGTGTATTTTTTTCCCCATTTGGGAAAAATTTTTTTCTTGACCCATATCTTCCTCCAGCTACCATCTCATTTCTCTGTTCTTTATAGCAAAACATTCTAATATAGATCGCCAGTGCTCATCTGTCTCCATCCGTGCCCCGTACCCCGCCCGCCTGCCCGTTTTCTTTTGGTTCCACATCACTGACTCTGCTCTTATTAGTGTTGCTGGTGACTTCCATATTGCTGAAATTCAGTGGTGAATTTTTTGCCCAATCTTAACTTGATCTCAGTAACATTTGGCCCAGTTGATCATTTCTTCTTCCTGAAAATACTTTCTCACTTGGTGTGGTAGACAGAATAATGATCCGCCAAAATGTCCATGTCCTAATCCTCAGAACCTGTGAATATATTATCTTATATAGGAAAAGGGACTTTGTGGATGTGACTGAGTTAAGGATCTTGAGGTGGAGAGATTATCCTGGCTTAGTCAAGTGGGCCCGGTCCTTATAAGAGGGAGGTAGGAGGGCAAGAGTCAGAGGAGCTGTGACTGTGGAAGCAGAAGTTAGAGAGATGCATTTTGAAGATGGAGGAAGGGGCCATGATAATGAATATTAAGACAATCCATTTATGTTGTTTTAAGCCACCAGGTTTGTGGTGATATGTTAGAGCAGCAGGAGGAAGCTGGGACTGCATATTCTCCTAGCATTCCTCCCCTCTCTCTGATTGTGTCTTTTCAGTCTCCTTTGCTGGTTTCTTCCCTTCTCCTTCACCTCTTAATTTTGAGTAATTAGCCCTCTTTCCTAGTTAGTTTCACTGACAGTTCCTCTCATTCTGTTCGATGACTTTAAATAACAATTTTTATGTTAATGATCCCCTAATTTATATCTCTAGTGTTGACCTGTCCCTTGAATTTGAGACCCATATATCCAGCCTCCTGCTCAGTGTTACTATTTGGATAGCTCGAAAGACATTTCAGATTTGACCTGTCCGAAACCAAACTTCTCATCTTCCCTCCAAAATTTCTCTCACGGTCTTTTCCATCTCAGTAGATGACCCCCTCATAATTCCTGTTGATCTGGGCTACAACTTGTATCTGACACCTTGTTACCACCTCCGCTGCTGCCACCTGGTGCAAGTCACCACCTTCACTTGAATTATCACAGTACCCTCCTATCTGCTCTCCCTGCTGCCTGCTTGTCCCCCAGTCATCTTTCTGTCGTCAACATAGTAACCAGAGTGATCTGCTAAAATGGAAGTTGGATCATGTCCCCCCTCTGCTCAGAACACCCTAGTCATATGGGTTCCTTGCTAGGCACTTTCCCCTCCAAAGGCCTTTGTACTTGGCTGTTTCCTCTGCCTGGAATGATCTTCCCCAGATAGTCACATGGCTTGTTCTCTCACTACCTCCAGCCCTTGGTTTCTGTGTCACCTCAGTGAAGCCTACCCTGGCTACCTTTTTTCTTTTTTTTTCCTTTGGCTGCATTGGGTCTTTGTTGCTGTGCACAGGCTTTCTCTAGTTGCAGCAAGTTGGGGCTACTCTTCGTTGTAGTGTGCGGGCTTCTGTTGCAGTGGCTTCTCTTGTTGCGGAGCTCAGCCTCTAGGCGCGCAGTCTTCAGTAGTTGCAGCATGCGGGCTCAGTATTTGTGGCACATGAGCCCTAGAGCACATGGGCTTCAGTAGTTGCAGTGGGTGGGTTCAGTAGTTGCAGTGTACGGGCTTCAGTAGTTGTGGCTCACAGGCTCTAGAGCTCAGGCTCAGTAGTTGCCGTGCCCGGGCTTAGTTGCTCCGTGGCATGTGGGATCGTCCCGGACCAGGGGTCGAACCCGTGTCCCCTGTATTGGCAGGCGGATTCTTTTTTTTTTTTTTTTTTTTGTGGTACATGGGCCTCTCACCGTTGTGGCCTCTCCCGCCGCGGAGCACAGGCTCCAGACACACAGGCTCAGCGGCCATGGCTCACGGGCCCAGCCACTCCGCAGCATGTGGGATCTTCCTGGACCGGGGCACGAACCCACGTGGCAGGCGGATTCTTAACCACTGCGCCACCAGGGAAGTCCCTGGCTACCTTATTTAAAATTGCCTTCCTCCCTCTGAATGCCCCATTTTTCCTCCTTTGCCTTATTTTTCTGTAGAGTTCTTATCTTCAGCTGGTAAATAACTAAAATATAGTGTATTACTTATTCCTCTTCCTCCCTGAGATTGTAAACTTGCAGGCAGAGAGTTTTTGTCCTTTGTGTTACCTTTTGACTCAGAGCCTAGAACAGTGTTGGACACACAATAGGAGCCCACATGTTCGTGAGGCTAATTGGAAGATTTGGAGTGTAAAATTTGATTGGAGTGAGTTTAGTGACAGCAGTAGGGGAGGAGGTGGGTACCAGGAGGATAGACAGCTCTCTTGAGAAGTTCTGCTTTAAGAGGATCAGGGATGTGGAGCAATAGCTAGAGAGTGACACACAGAAGATAGAGCAGCGTGTGTGTGTGCTGGTGGGGTGCTTCCGGAGGGAGAGAAGTTGATGAGGCATGGGGAAACGCAGGGGACAGACCCAGAAACTTGAGTCTTGGAGTAAGCAGGAGGGGGTGGGATGCCCACGCGCAAGTGAAGGGCTGGCCAAAAGAGGACACAGCCCTCGTCTGTGTGGCTGGGAGGGTAGACAGAGCATGTGAGGACAGCCACAGGTAAGTTCTTCGAAGTGAGCATCTCACTGCTACGTTTTGGCTGCATATTCTTCTATAGCTCATAAAACTATTGCAGCTTCTTTTTCTGGTTTGTAATTATTTGTGTGAATGAATTATTTCCTTTGTACACTTCTTGGAGTGTAAAAGAATTGGTTTTGTTTATTTATTTTAATCTCAAAAATTAGTGTTTTCCTTGCCATTTTCTGCCACAGGCACTTAACACATTTTAATGAATTAACCATTACAAACAATAGCTAAGCAGTGACAAAGCTAAAGCAGCCCACCCGCCCCAGCAGCTCAGTCCCAGGCCGCACCGCCAGTCTAGAAGAGTAAGTGTCCCGTCTGCTCCACCCTCCACGGCTGACGATGTCTCTTTCCTTTGTGTTCTCTTTGGCTCAGTGCTCCTCCACCAAGAACATCCTGTTGTTTCCTTGCCCCCAAGGAGCATAGAAGTACCTGATCTTTGACATCAGGCCTAATTTGGAATCCCTCAACAGTCCATCTTCCAGTATTCACGTAGAGAAGGCATCTAAAAGTCAGGCAGACTGTTTGCCAGAGAAACTGTGTTGGAATTCTTAAATCCCGGTTAACGTATGACAGTGCTGAGGTCTCTCATCTTGTCGACCTGTATTCATAGGAAGCACTGGATCTGTATCACTGTGTAACTCACTTTGAGTTTGTCCCATGGAACTACTGGAGTCTCTAGTGCTTTGTTTCAAAGCACCGATCTCTCTCGATCCTTTAAGGCCTTTTTAAAATGAGGTATACCTGCTTAAAAATTTTAATCTCACCATAACCACACGTAATTAATTACATCACTTCTTTGAAATACAAATAGTCCTTTGTCTTTTCTTATTTCCTAATGTTGAGCCTTGTTCACCCCTTCTTTCCAAGGATACCCTTTCTTTGATTCTTCCGCACAGTTTTTTCCCCAAACAATGAGTTGCAACCCATTAATTGGACCTGAAATCAGTCTGGTAGATAATGACCAACATTTTTTTTTTTTTTTATGGGTTAGAAGATAGAACACCCTGCACACACTAAGGAAAGTATTGTTTTATGAAACTTCTGTATCTTTTATTTTTGTGTATTTATATAAAGTATTTCTCAGCGTGGGTCTCATTTGAAAGCTTCTTATCAGACCCTATATTTTGTTAAATAGAAGAAGAGGTTTAAGGCTTACATAGTTTAAGAAGTAGAATCCTGTAGGTCCATTTTATAGATGTGGTTTTGAGTCTCAGCTCCTCAGCAAAGAACCTGCTACTGAACCTGTCACTTTTGTTAAGTCTTAGTTTCCACACCCAAGAAATGAGTGCTTGCTTTTGTATTTCAGAGGGATATGCAAAGAATATTTAATGAAATAATATGAATGAAAGCACCTTTGAAATTCTCAGAGGCAGGGAAATATTGTTTCACAAATGACCTTAAATATCTCTTTCTGTTTATTTGTAGAGCTTTTGTCGCTATAGATATTTATTTATTTATATTTATTCATTTTTTGGTAGAAGCATTTAGAAATCATTTACCAGATTCCCCTCTTTGTACAATTGCCTCACTTCAGGTAATTCAGAAATGTCCCGTCTTGTTGACAGGAGTGAGTACCTTTGGATTTCTCTGTCAGCCAGTCCATTGTTTGTCTACAGGTTCTGGCCTGTTCTTGGACTTGAATGTTAGGGGAGAGACTAACCTCCCCCAGAAATGTTTGCAATTATGCCTGTGTCATTGTATATTGTCTCCCTTTTTTTTTGGTCTCATTTGTACTTAGACAAAGAGGCAGCTGAACGTCTTTCAAAAACAGTAGATGAAGCATGTCTGTTACTAGCCGAATATAACGGGCGCCTGGCGGCAGAACTGGAAGACCGACGCCAGCTGGCTCGGATGTTGGTGGAGTACACCCAGAACCAGAAAGATGTTTTGTCAGAAAAGGAGAAAAAACTAGAAGTGAGTACATTGCAAGGCAGACCCAAACTTCCCAAGTTTCCCTTCCTGCAACCCACATTAGGAGGTTTTTATTATGCCTTAAATAACACGTTTTTTTTTCTTTTTAAAAAAATTCATGAGATGAGGACATCCATCAGATTTTTTTTTTAATTAATTAATTTATTTTTGGCTGTGTTGCATCTTCGTTGCTGTGTGCTGGCTTTCTCTAGTTGGCGGCGAGCGGGGGCCACTCTTCATTGTAGTGCGTGGACTTCTCATTGCGGTGGCTTCTCTTGTTGTGGAGCACAGGCTTTAGGCACGCGGGCTTCAGTAGTTGTGGCTCGTGGGCTCTAGAGCGCAGGCTCAGTAGTTGTGGCGCGTGGGCTTAGTTGCTCCATGGCATGTGGGATCTTCCCAGACCAGGGATTGAATCCGTGTCCCCTGCAGTGGCAGGCGGATTCTTAACCACTGCGCCACCAGGGAAGCCCCTCGATTATAGTTTTGAGTGAGTTAGAATTCGCCACTCAGTTTGTCAGGTCTATCAGAATTTATTGAAGGGCTTCTGAGCCTGTACTCTAGAGCCCGCGAGCCACAACTACCGAAGCTTGCGCACCTAAGAGCAGGTGCTCCGCAACAAGGGAAGCCACCACAATGAGAAGCCCACGCACCGCAACGAAGAGTAGCCCCCACTCGCCACAACTAGAGAAAGCCCGTACTCAGCAACAAAGATCCAACGCAGCCAAAAAAAGCCCAAAACGTATATTGAGGTACAGGAAGAATAGGCATTCAGCAAAACCAAAGAATGTTTGTTTGGTAATATTTGGGAAATGCTTGAAATTTTCTTTCTTTTGGGTTATACTGAGATTTATTTCCAACTTGTATCCTTGCTGAGGCCAATAAGTAGTGTGCCTCTAAGCTCTGTCTGCAGTCTGTTCTAAAATTCCACGTAAACATAGTGATGTTTATGGAGCCCAGTTCTCGTACTGTTGAGAAGGAACTAATTTCTACCCTGAGCTGACATTGTCTGAGTGCCCTTGGAGAGGGCCTTCAGAACTAGTTTCTCTAGTTTGCGTTTGTCTGGCTTCTTAATTAAATACATGGTGGCTTATCCTCAGTCCTTTGAGATAACTGAACCGGCAGTGTGGACATTTGGGAACTTTTGCTTGCTTCCAGCTGCTACGCTTCCTTTTCAGGAGTGTCTGCCCTTCTTTTTCTCAAAGAGACGTGGAGAAGAGTTGCAGCCAGTGGTTTGGGAAGGGAAGACAGTTTTGAGTTGGAGAATCAGTCGCTTACTACAAGAAACAGAGTAGATTGGGGAGGGAGGGGATGGTCCCCCTCCCCCAGCCCTGTACTTAAAGAAACACATTCTCTGGCACAGAGGGAGGGAAAAGTGAGCTAGCCTTGTGGCTGACATGGTTGTGTTTGCCTTTCAACACAGTCACCTGACTTGTGTGGGGAAACGAAGGATGGACGCTCTTTACCATGTTGTTACCTGCAATGACTACAGGAGCTGTGATGGGTAGTAGTGGTGGAAATTTCATATTCCTAGCCAGCTTGAAAGTGGAAGATAGGAAACGGCTATAAAAATAGTATGGCTTAGATTTAGAAATCAACACTGACCAGAAATCCTAAAGGGAGTTTGACAGGCAGTACCAGACGGTCATTTATCTGAAATGCTCATCTTTCACTGAGGAAGCATTTTCAGCACTGTGCCCTGGGACTAATAAGAGAGTGTAATTAATGATTCTGGTTGTAAGTCACCATACCATCTGTTGAACTGCCCCTTGGCAACACATTAAGGGCTTTCTCTGATCTGTCAGACATTGATTATCATGAGCAGCTGCTGTTGGGTGGAACATGGCACGCTACCATAGAGGACAGAGTCTTTGAGAAGGAGATTGGGTTGGTAGCGTGAATTAACTCTTTGTACGTCTCCCTTCCTCATAGTTGCACTTCCTCCCTATATTTCTTGGGGGATCTTTCTGGTTTCTGTAGAACCAGTGGTTTGCTAGATGCCACAAGAGGTCATTAAGGCAGAGAGATGGATCAGAGATTTGAGTGTGTTTTGTTGCTTTCCAGCCCAAATTTCTTTACTCATCTGGGCATTGGAATTCCATTGCTTTAAGAATCAGAACGGGTATGTCCCACCACTGGAAAGTACAGATTCTGAACTGCCAGTTCTTATTCCAAACCATGTCTCAGCCACATGAGCAAAACTATTCATCATAAAAGTGGAGCTAAATTTGCTACATTTAAAAAAACAAACTACTAGGTATAACATAAGATGTTGAAAGATGGTTTTAGTTCTTTCTTTATCCATGTTTGCTAAAAATATGAACGGTTTGCTCCCTAGAATCTGAGATTTTTCTCTCATATCCCATAATAGACTGGTCTTAATTCCATTATATCCTTACAGTGATGATAAAACTTGCTAAGTATGTGCCACTTGAAAGATGCATTATTACTATGAATTCTTATAAATCTTCCAAAGTCTCTTATTGATGAGGACAGTAAATAAAATTACCTACCTTTTCAACATTTTTTTTTTAATACTGCCAATACTTGTTTTAAAACTGCCACATGATGAAGTCTGCTTTTATTTTTTTCTTTTGTTTTGTTTTTGCGGTACGCGGGCCTCTCACTGTTGTGGCCTCTCCCATTGCGGAGCACAGGTGCCGGGCGCGCAGGCTCAGCGGCCATGGCTCATGGGCCCAGCCGCTCCGCAACATGTGGGATCTTCCCGGACCGGGGCACGAACCCGTGTCCCCTGCATCGGCAGGCGGACTCTCAACCACTGCGCCACCAGGGAAGCCCTGCTTTTATTTTTTAATCTTTTCATTGCTGTCGGTGTAGAATATGGAATTCTTAGAACTCTAGAAATGTAATTATTTACTTGAGGGTCTTTTCTTCCGAAAGTTCTAATTTGTTAACACGTAAGGTTTTTTTTTCCTTCAAGTTTATATCTTCCTTACGTAATAATCATACCTTTTTATTCTTTCACTTGAGAATTTTATGTTAGATTTCTCAGTGGCTTCTAAAGTTTGGGATAGGGAATATAATGACTCAGAGCCTAGGATGATTCAGACCCTGGGATGTAGAAGACAGAGTTATGGCTCACAGAGAGATTGTGTTTCTGCCCTCAAGGAAATCATATTCTTGAGTAAACAGCATCGGTGAACATAAAACCAAACTGAGGGATTGTATATAATACAGATCAAGGAGACAACTGGCAATTGTGATTGTGGTTTAAGGTTAAGTCCAAACTTCCTCGCAGGCACTAAAGCCTTTTCTTAAAAGGAAGTAGCAGTTGAAGAAGGGAAATATATTTATAAATGGAGAACAGCCAGGCTGGAGCAGACAGATTTATGACAGGAGGCAAAGACAGAAGGTATGGGAGCGGGGTGCCGGAGCCCTCCTGTGGGAATTAGGCTCCATACTCTTTCAAGGGCTGCTTACTCAGCCATGAAGTCAACAAAGCCCATGCCAGGCAGGAGGTAATCGGAGAGGAGCATGATGTACGCTCTCCCGTCAGTGAGCTTCCACTCTAGTGTGAGAAAAACAGCGAAAAAGGAGTTAAAGTAGAATGTGAGACATGTTCTAAGTAAGGGGACTGTCCTAACTCACTGTGTCTAAGTTAAAATAGACCAAGGAAAAATGAATATGTTAATGTTTAACATTAATTTGATCCGAAGTTTATTTAAAATTTAAGAGATTTATAAAATGCACGGGCAGTTTTTGAACAACATACTGCCTTCAGCAGGTCTTCCAAAGTTCATTCGAGTATGTGCTCTTTGGCTGCTCTTACAGCGTCAGGAACATAATTGTTCCTCAGTAAATATTTGTTCTGTGAGTGAAATTTATCACCTGATGAAACCTTATTTCATAAAGAAGAGGATTTTCTAGGTTGAATTAAAAAATTAATTCTTGGTTGTAAAGAATATATCAGTAAAGAAAGGTGAGTATTTGGTGGAAACTGGGGGTTTCCTCCTTTGTGTTGCTTTTCTTTTTTTTTCCTTGAAGTAGAATCATGATTCATTTTGAGATGATTTTTTTTTACCTTTTCTTTTATTTCTGCTTTTCCTTTTGGGTGTTATGGTAGACATTGGCCTTAAACTCCAGGCAGGGTTAGAAGGAGAGTTGCTTAATATTTGTCATGAACATGAGGAAACACAGAAATGGGAAAGAAGGCATGTAGAAGGAAGCACAAACAGCAGCCCCGAAGTGAGGATAAGGAATGTGGAGGATACAGAAGAAGGTGAATTCAAAAAGGAAAAGGCCAAAGGTACCAGAAAAGCCTCTAAACTTCAGTTCTTGGAGCAAAAGGAAGGTTTGTTTCTGGGTGACAGAGGTGACCATTACCCCAAGTGACTGCTAGAAGCTTACAAGCCATAGAGTAGGACAGACAAAGTTCCCGTCTTGTTTGGAGAAAGTATGATGTGGTATGTTCCGTCTGACTGATCAGGGCATGTGAAAAGCAGAGAGAGAGAAGGAAACCTATTTGTACAAGCATTGAAGAAAAAAAATCAAAAGGGGGAAGGTACCCAAAATTTTACCACCTTAACACATCAGTTGGTTTCTTTTACATCGTGGTGTTTGACTAGCAGTGCTCTAGAACTGAAAGGAGACAGTTCTGTGATATACATGCCACTTGGTGCACACACAGACTATATGCCACACAGGGAAGAGCTCTGGGGAGATGTGTTCCTATCTGCAGATTTTTTTTTAATTGAGGTGAAATGTATAGAACATAAAAGTAATAACCATTTTAAAGTGTATGCATTTCATGGGCTTCCCTGGTGGCGCAGTGGTTGAGAGTCCGCCTGCCGATGCAGGGAATACGGGTTCGTGCCCCGGTCCAGGAAGATCTCACATGCCGCGGAGTGGCTAGGACCGTGAGCCATGGCCGCTGGGCCTGCGCGTCCAGAGCCTGTGCTCCGCAACGGGAGAGGCCACAACAGTGAGAGGCCCACGTACCGCAAAAAAAAAAAAAAAAAAAAAGTGTATGCATTTCAGTGGCGTTC